AGATTTCCAATAAATGATTTAAGATAAGGAAAATGAAGAATATTTTTATCATTAAATAACCATTGATAACAAAGATCAGAAGAAATTGAATTTGTTCCATCAAAATGAATACGTTGAATAGAAGCAGAAAGAGACGATGAATTTAAAATCAATGGAAATAATATTGAACAACATTTATTATATGATAAACCATGCATTATAACAAGGCCATTGTTCAGTCGATTGTCATTTATCGAAAGAGTTAAACATATAAGAGAATTGAAGCGAGAATTTAATGACCATAAAGATGTTAACATATCGTACCATGTTAGACAAGAAAAAATTTGAAGAAGAATTTCATTAGGTAGTGTTTCGATTTTACTAATCATTTTGTCTAAAAAGAAAGATAGATTAGGATTTTTTTCATCGTCAATAGGCGGGTTAGATGAGAAAGTTGGTCTAGGTTAACTTTTTTCGATGTTGACCAAATGTAATGCTATCTGGAACTTCACGGTTTCAGATCATTTTTTTTTTGGTTCTGTCTAGCGTACACTTTTGTCCAAAATATTTCGAAGTATGTTTTCTAGAAAACTAAGAAATAATAGAGCATCGCAAATTACATGACTGTATTCAGTAAAGAACGGGCCACATTTAGAAAAAATAATCTCTAACTTTGAATTTAAACTTATTAAATTTTTACAGGAACGTCTTAAAGTTTGAAACTAATTTCAAATCTTAATAACTGAACATCAAAAATTAATAAAGACCTCTCATAAACAGCATTGGATAGAAAATAAAACTGTCGATTAATAAGTCTTTCATCGTTCAAAGTCCGCTATGTCAGTATTAATTTTAAACTTGTCTAGATAACAGAAAAACTCTTTATGCACTTCGTCTTGCATATAATGAGATAAAAGTTATAACGTTCATTCCGTAATCACAATATATAAATCTACTATAAAAACTTGATTCTTTAGCAAAAAAAAAATATGAAGCTACATTTTATAGAACAACAGATGTGTCTATAAAAGACTGTTTTGTAAAGAGAATCTTCTAGAGAATGTATTATTTGTTATAAAGATCTTTATTTTAGTTTCTATCGTGTAACAGACATTGTTTAATGGGTGTTTAACAACGTCAATTGATATATTTCAAATCAATTTGTATTTTATTATTAGTTGTATATTCATAGAATAAAATAACAGCTTAGAAATTCACTCCTAAGTTTAATGATATTCTTTTATGAATAAAATAAAATGAACAGTATTTTTCTAGTTCGAGTAGGATTATTGTTGATGGTAATTAAGATGAAACAATTCGAGATATAAAAATGATACTAACGATAGAAGATTAATTTATTTCTAAAGTATCAATATATAAAATAAAAAAACATTACCTGATTATATTTAAGTGCAGAATTCTTATATCTTANTCTCGTCAGAAACAAGCCAGGGGGACGAACTTTTTTTACCACAGACATAGCTCACTATGGGCTACAAGATGCGCAAAACTCCGGCTGAAAAGCGCTCTGGCACCTGGGAAGGTTCCCTTGTAAGTCAATAAATAATAATTATGATATAGAAACCAGCTCTATATATTAAGTGTGAATTTTCGATAAATCTTGATTGAAAACTCGATGATAGAAAGTTTCTGTTTAATATAAAACACATAAAAAGAAAGCTTTTATCAAAATAATGAATAAATTCGGTGAGATTTTCTATTTATCCAAGCATTTTGTTTTTCTTTATTTCAACAGAATCTAGTCAATTATAACTCTTCGAAAACAATTAGAAAAGAAAACGGAAGAATCAATGTGACCTCATTTAAACTATGTAACGAATTGTCTTGCCATCCATTGATTATGATTACATTCATCGAAAAAAATCTTCGATAGTATTTATTCAAAAAATTTAATTGTTGTATATTTATCATAACCATCTACTAAATAAAGATATCGTTCGATCGTAGATGAGGATCAACGTAATGTTGTTGGGTAAAGGGCAACGTGTGACATCAAATGTACGGAAAGTATGAAATCTTATGATATAAATGCAACGTGTGCATGAAGCAAACACATATACTATTTGGGGAAGACAAGAATGATTCTACTTATAGCACTCGCTCTACTCGTAATATTATTCGTTCTATTTAGACGAAGTTATAATCAATATGCATCCGGTTTAAGAGAAAAACCAAACTATTTCTTATGGCTTTTAACATGTGTTATCAATTTCAAAGGTTGGTCAAAAGAATCATATTGTCTTCTCATGGATAATTTGAAATCAATGGATCATTCAGGATATTTAAATGATAAAGACATTCCGTTTCGTAATAAATCACGACGAAAAATGTTACGTGGTCTACCTCATCGTCAGCTAACTCAACAAGCACCTGATGAGATTATGTATGAAATGCATAAACATATGGAATCAATATCTATACCAAGATATGGTGGACAAACAATTAATAATCAATTATTGTTACGTGGTAAATCAACTGCTGAATATACTGGTGCTGATGCTTTATTTTTACCAAATCCAGATAAAAATACATTTGAAAATGGTGAATTTACACATTTACATTCAAATGATGGCTCATTTCATATGATATTACATCCATCCGATGCTAAATTATTAATTAAGGCCCCCCTCCCCCGCTCAAAAATCTATCTCAGCCCAGGAACATCCAAATTAGATGAAACTTTCAGAGTATGTTGGAACTAGAAAGGGGAGACTACCATAATAGTTTCAGCCCGAAATCTTCAGGTTTTGGGGAGATATGAGTCAAACAAGGGTCGAAAATGACTCATTTGGCATCCCAAATTTCTCGGTCCCGGTTCGTTCAATATATTAATATTTTTTTTTGTTGGAAAGAGCATCTCAAGACGCAGAGCACATGGAAGCCGCTTTTTTAAAAGAGTCCTTTTTTAAGCGCAAAAAAGGATCAAAAGTTCAATGACTGAAAAAAGTGTCAAAAAATGGTAACTAAATCATATAGCTGGCTGTATATTGACCAAACAAAGGCTTAATTTAAAAAAGCGGCTTCCGTGTGCCCTGCGCCTTGAAATGCTCTTTCAAACAAAAAAAAAATATTAATATATTGAACGAACCAGGAAGGAGAAATTTGGGATGCGCTTTTGAGAAAGCGGAAACTGAGAAAAAAAGAAAAAACATTTTTTGATTTTTCAAAAAACAGCTGCTTTTCCGAATAGGGGTTGACGGAAATCTTGAAAATTTTTTGAGAAAAATGAAGTGATGAGAAAAACAAATTATCGTTTATGAAAGAGCAGATGACGGGCTATCTCCCCATGTATTTATCTCAGTTTCGGAATTTTTGACGAAAATTGACTTTTTTTGAGGGGAAGAGGCTTAATAAACAATGGGCTGAAAAATTTCCATTAGTTGGAATGAATATATTCAATAAAATAATCGTTTCAGATACATTTATGTTAATTTATGCTCCACAAAATGAAAATGAATTAAATATTTGGAAAACAATTTTGAATGCTTGTATCAATTATAACCGAGATAATAAAAGTAAACATTGAACAAAAGTATTTTTATTGTAATAAATGATTTGCTTTCATAAAACTAATCAAAGCTTGAGCATATTTTTCAACATAAATCTTTGGATCGAATTCGTTTCGCACAACATATGAAAGTTCAGTTTGAATGACATTAATTTTTGATGAATAATGATTTGTTATAAAACCACCTTTATAAAATTTATTGTTGTTCGGTTTTGGATTATTTAACGAAGGATATGATATACCAAGACCATTTGATTCAAGAAAAGTGCCAAGTGATTTCGAACCTCGTATACATTCATTTCGATCATTTGGACATGATAATTCAATAAGAGATTCAATTGATGTAGTTGACAAATCATTATTATTCAATTGAACAGCAGATAGACGAATTCCTATCATTGTATAACTACAAGATAAAAAAAGACATTTCTTGAAAAAGAAGAATAAATTTTTAAATCTTACTTTCCTTGTCCATGTTGATGAATATCAAGTAATAAACCTTTACCATGAAATTTTTCTTGAATTATTTCTACTGCTTTTTCTAAATAATTATGATATGTATTATATGATTTGATTGCTTCTGGATGGTTAAATGTAGCTTCATTTATTTCACGATTAAAATCAATTTTTTTTCGATTCCATTTAGCAATAATAACAAATGGTAGAAGATTATATTTTCTAATTAATTCATCAGTTACTAATTCAGTAAATTGATCAAAACTAGCAAAATCTTGTTGGATTGTAGTTGAACAACGATTTCCATCTGAACATGTATCATTAAAATAAAATGTACATGAATTTGAATTATTACGTTGACAACCACCTATTGTACGATCGGGTATATCATTTGGTATATCACTACCAGCATGAGGTGATGAGAGAATAATATTTGTATTTGATAAATTATGATAAATAGCTTTAAATGAATCTTGATATCCAGAAAAATAAAATTGAGAAGATATTTCATTTGATTGAATGAAACCAATGAAGAAAAATATGAGAACAAACATCATTTGTCTATTCAAATAAAAAAAAAATTATGATCTTTGTTTTTGACGTTTTTTGTTACTGATACTTTAATCTCTTTTTCTTTGCATACCCGATGATAATATATATATAAGTATATGCATAGGATAATACAAAATTTATTTTATTCTGGTCTTCTTAAATGTCATACATTGAGATCAAGTATTCTGCTATAATAGATAAATATCATAATTAAGATTATGTACAAAATGTCAAGTTTCACGATCTTGAAAAATGTCTTGTTATTAATAATTCTTCCAGGTCAGTCATATCTTTTCTTTACATGACTCATGAGAACGATTTCGAACTATAATGTTATGTACACAGAATATTGATTCAACGTACATGGAAAATCATTATACTTCTAGTACAAGCATGGTATAATAGAGAAAATTCGTATTGCTCATGTCGGTTGTCCTTCAGCTGCTCTATACGCAGACAAAATTGATGCTGTCTGAAGTAATAATTAAAGATGACTCTCATTAAACATATGAATTAATTGAAGACACTCTCAGCACAATGTCACTAGCTATTATTTTAATTAGTCTTACTATTTTAAAGTTCTATCAAGTTGTATGCTCGATAAGTGCATGATTAATTCATCGATGACTGAAAGCAGTTCCATGTTGAATCGTCTTGTCAGTTATTGAAGAGGTCTGGATAGATCAATGTCAATCTTGTATTTGGTATAATCACTAGTGATTGATCATGGTTATATCATTAGAATAGAGGATACGAAGCGTAGTCGAAGATTTGACTGCTATAAAACAATTCGTGAACAGTCAAAGCACATTGAAACAAAAGTTAAGACATGTGTATCGCGCCGTTTTTTTCACAGAATGTAACCTAGCCAAGCCTATGCTAGTGGGATCTAGTAGAGAAAAACTAGTGTGCCAATAGCTGCTTAACGTTAGTTTTCAAATAGCATCAAAAGAGAAAAGAAAACATTGACCTTCAAGATCTCGGTTTTCACTATGCAAACGCGAGATGATATATCTTGCTTAGATGAAAGTGAAAAATACTAAGATGATATCGACTGCTTGATCATGTTTTTGTCGTTTTTTGTTCTGTTTTATATAAATAAATAAAAATACTTTGATATTTCTTATGATTACTTGACAAGAAAAATTTATCGCGTCAAGAAATAATGCGTCACAATACCATGCACCAATAGAAAATATTATTCATAGTACTTGTTTATAAATGGCTTGTTGAATAATCCAATGAATAATGCTTTAAAACGATGATAATAGCACAGAACTCGACATTCATTTTTTTTCAACACATGTATTTAACTGTTCTTTATACCATTTGTTTCCATTAGGATTTCACAATAAGATGTAGGAAGAAAAAAATCTGTTTTCTTTTCCTAAATATAAAATAATGAAAAAAAATTCTTATCAAACTAATATTGACTTAACGAAACAATTCCTTGCTGTCACATTTTGCAAAGAATTACATTTTTATTTTGAAAACAGACTAGAAGTCTGCAGCAATGGGACAAATTCTTAATAATATTACTACCTCATTAGGCGACAATTAAGAAACATTTTCTCTTATTTGACTCGATGGTTTAGTTAACCAAACAGAAGAGAATCGTCAAGCTCAAGAAGAGCTTCGAGCAACAATCAATTAACTAAAAGCATTTGAAGATTCTGATCAGTGTGAACAATACATATTCAATGTATTGACGGAGGATCGAATTGTTTTAATAGTCAGCGAAGAGCTCGGTCGAAATAAAATGTTTATTATTCATTCTATTGAACAACTTTTATCAATATATGTTTATTATCAAGATCGAAATTCAAACGAACAATGGTCTGCTGCAGATTCAAAAGTAATGAAGAGAATAACTTTAGTTAAAATTCTAACAGTATTATTATACAATTTCTTATAGGTGAAAGCTGTAGTTACAAATTTAAAAGAACTTATTGCTCGGATTCAGTTCGATCATGAAAAACAACAGTAGGATAAAATTTATAAGTCATTACCAATTAGTATTTTTGATCCAAAGATTGTTCATGAAAAACTTACAACTGATCCTTAAGGTCATCTTGTGCATTCGCAATTATTAATTAATTGTCTTCTTCAAGTGAAATCGGATGTGAGTGATAAGAATGAGCTAATATCACTGAGTAAAAATATATACAGAAAGAATCGAAATGAAATGAAAATTATCGAGGAGNCTGGTCATCAACATATTACATCATCACTAGAAGAAGAGGATTGGTCAAAAGATGACAAGTAATGCCCATGTCAATATTTTTTGAATCAAAACACGTTTCAATCGCGTTGGGTTTGTGCCTAAACCACAGTAGTCAAACGCGTAGAGACGCAGCTCATATGAAACATTTCTTGCGTTCTGACACGGTTCGACATTAATTCTCTTTCGAACGCGATTGCTGATAAGATCGTATCCAGACGTGATTCAAACTGAAGTCACGTCTAGATGTGTTGTACTCGATATTTGAAATTTCAACAAATGTATTACAATTCGTCTCAGGTTTGATCTGAGTCGTCATCAGTATTGCCTAGCGATAGTCTTTACCTAACTACAGGCCAACGGAAAGTTTAAAATGTAATGTTTCTAAAATGATTGAAATGAGATTAGAACAAGTAAACTAGCGATTAGAAAGCAAGTGTGCATGCCGTTGAGCCACATGTGATCACATTAGTTGTAGAACGAAAGTGAATCTATATATGCATCGTCTATTCTAAACTTATTCACAGATACATGTGTCAATGAGGTGCTGTGTATACTTATTAGTTATTGCTGTATATAAAAATCTATTTATTTATCCAAAAAAACGTTTACATTAGATAAATCAAGCCACATAATTTTTAAAGTAGCTAATTATAGAAACTATTCGTTTTGGAAAAAAATTTCGTTTATATTTTTTCTAGAATTTGATCATTTTCCATTTTAGAGTACCAATCTGGTAGAATTTATGTGCCAATTATATTTTTATAAAAATTATATATATTCTATCTGTCTTGAGAAAAGGAACTTTAAACTTTTTGAGAACTTGATATTCTTCCAACTAAATTAAGTTTATAAAAAACTGATATATATTTTCTGCTGAATAAAAAACGAATCATTTATATATTTTTTCCTGTAAATGAGTTTCATAATCGCGTTTCGTTTGTATATTGATTGAAGCTATGGAATGCGTCTAGAAGCAGTTCGTGTAAAACATCTTTAGTGTGTAGACGCAGCTGCAAGTAAACCCGCGTCTAGGCGCAATAAATATTTCACTGAAGATGCACTTTTAGATCAAATCTAATTCACATGTGTCAAGATGCGCTTGAAGTCCTACTACAGTCGCGTTCAGATGCGGTTCGTGCGAAATCGCGTACAGATGCGTTTCACAAGAAAAATGCGTTTAAACGCATAATTTCTGCGTTTGGTGTTTACATGGGTGACAGAAGAAGAGGGGAGACGGACTGATGACACTATACCGAGCAGAGATCTCAATGGACCGGACCATACCAAGACAGCTCATGAGTGATCGACCTTTGGTCTGACCTGGTTCATAATTTTTCTCTAAAAAAACGATCCACCCATGAGTCGTTCATCTGGTTGAATTGAATAGCATTATTCTAGAATACATGGATTAGGAAGCATATTTCGATTAGCAGTAGTTCATGTATAAACAAGAGTTTGGTAAGATATTTGAAAACTTGTAAAGGCTTCAATCGTTTCGAATTCATCTATATTCACTGATTTTTTAGTGGGAAAGGCAAAACCATTTCGAGCACGAAGATGTGGATACTTGTTCATTGTTAATAACCGCATATGTGACAATGGTTGGTGTTTCAAAAGAAAGGAAATTGTGCTTATACTCCTGTCACACGAGTATTGCTTTTCCTATGGATTTCGTTTTTGTTTTTAGTGTCATGAGCATATGAGACCAGTAGATCAGCATTTAGACTTTTTAGTCTTAGGAAAAAAATCAATTCTTTACGAAGAGAATCACTCTCAAAATATATTGGCCTCTATATTGTGTTTTGACTAATATTCCATCGGCAGTTGCATAAATAAACGTTGAATTTTTTGCTCCATAATCAACTGAAGATTTTCCATACAATACAATCATCTTAAATAATAACTTTACAATGAGTACTGCCTATCATCAAAGAGTGCTAAGCGAGAGAGAAACGACAGACTCCAAGGAATTGGAGTTCTGCTGTTTCCCCCTTGTGTAGATCCCATTGAGATATGAAAAATCCGGAAAGGATCAATGCTCTTAGGTCTTCTGTGCAGACTTACAGCCATTTTACTGCAAGTTTAGCCTATGGTATGGTATATACCAGCAAATTGAATTACGGTATTTCGACTTGAGATTATGCCAAGGGAAAACAAGCGAGACTTGATCTACTTAAAAAATATCTGTAGTACAAGTGAAGTACGCACTGTTGAAGTTTCGCTTTTTTTCCTCTTGAGAATAACAGACCCGACATTATTAAACAACGTTTGTCATATCAGACAATATAAAAAAAAACAGCTGTCATCAATTGTCTATCAAATGACGTATAGTTGACAATTACAAATTGCGCTGTTTTCTGCCAATAAATAGAATATTCTACCAAAGGATACGAAGATCATAGGTGCACGATGAATATAACTGTATTGTAGACAGTGAAGCTAAAGAATTGTCCTTCTTCGTTTTATTAACATATCAATTTAATTATAATTTACGAAATTACAGTATTTACAAAAAAAAACGTCAAGAAAAATATCGCTACAAGTAGAAAATTAGAAAACTTCATATTTATTGCTCGGAAGATGACGATTGATTGTCAGTCGGTAGAGTTAACCGTTCAGGTCGTACTTCAAATGTGAGATTAACATCAGTTTTTGTTTCAGTATCATTATCTGGATCATCAAGGATTGTATAATTTGACATTAGAGATTCTGTGAGAGACTTTTCATGACAATAATCACATAAACGATGTTGAGAACTTAAACAGTAGAATCTTTTTTTAGAAATAGAAAAACAAAAAAGAAATTTAAACAAACTTCGGTGTCGAACCTTGATGCCAATGATTTGAACAATAATAACAAAATATCTTGTGACAATGGCGACAACGATACTAGAAGAAATGAGTTTTTACAAAAGAAAATCAATTGAAGAATGTTTATTGACCTACTTTCCTCAAAGTCCATCCAAATTGTGTTTCACATTTTGTACATTTCAGAACATCGTCTTCATGCACCCATTGTCTTGATTGTTCTTCTTCCAGTTTAACTTCATATAAATAGATTGAATTAAATAAATCAGCTTTTTCACTAAAATCGATATCGGAATAAAAACAATTAAAATAGATATTATAGATATTCCTGTACCGAACAGCTTTAATTAATCTGCGTTTCATTTCTTCAAAATCAAGTGTTTTTTCGTGTATAGAAGCTTCAAGTTGCTCTTGAATTTTATTAAGTTCTGCCTACAAGAAAAGCATGTGATTGAAGAATTCGTTTCCGTTTCATCGTTACCCGTTCTTTTTCAAATAATATTCGCTCATTTTCAAGTAACTTTGTCGTCTAAAATTAAAGTTAACTATTTACAATAATCGATTAAATTAATTTTTTTTTTACTTTTTCAAGTTGATTTGTCAAATGTTCAATTCGTTTGTCTTGTTCAATTGAATGAGTCGAACGTTGTTCTTGCTAAAAGATAAAAACTATTAAATTATTTTGACAAAAGAAAAAAATACATACAATGGATTTCAGATAGTTGGTTTGTTCATCGAATTTACGTTGTAACTCATTGAAAATCATATCTTTCGTTTCTAGTAAAGCTTGGTATTTGGCTATTTCGCGTTCATAATCCTTATATTTCTAAAAAAAATAAATTTTATAAAGATTTCAAATAGAACTTAGTGTATAGGAAATTGTTGAGTAGAAAAGCTGAATGTCAAAAACAAGTTTATAAATTTAACCAGGATGGGTTCCTATTGTTCAAACAAGAATTAAATTAAATTTGACTGAAGGAGAAGATGAATAAGAAAAAATTCTATATTATCAACAACAGCATTTTGTTCTTGAGATGTGATGTTACTGAAAATTTACATTTGATGTCGTTCTTCTAACGAAGTTGATAAACGTTTCGGGCTTTACTGTTAGTTTAGAATTGTTTCTTTATTATGAATAGAAATTTCTTTTCTTACAGTTTCTGTTGTCGTACGTTGAATCATAAAAGTCGAAAGTTGAAAATTAAGACTATTGACTTCATCTTGTAATACATCTTTTTGAGATTTTAATTTTTCCGTTTCACTCTTCAATATATTTTCATCTATTAATTTTTTGTCATCTATTGTTTGAGTTATCTGATCAAATTTGTCTATTGAACATTGAGTTTCAACGTCATTCACTTGTAACTTATCATACTTTGAATGTAATTGAAGTTCTAATTGCTGATAGCTATGAAGAGAAAATTTCAATTAAAATGAAAATTCTGAACAAGAATAATTAATTACCGTTCTCTCCAATAATTTACAGTATTTTCTGGATATTCATCAACAGATGAAATTGAATGAGCTGAACTATCATCATTTATTGATAATTCAAGATTCTACAAACAAAATAAATAAAATTCTATTGTTTATTTAAATATTGTAATATTTTACTTGAAATGATGATTGAGTCATAGGAGATGATGAAATCATCAATTGTGAAGGAAGACTATCCTAAAACAGATTTTTTTTTCAAAAGAAAAAAGAAAGAAATATTTTATTTTATTTTATACCATTGATAAGAAACTAGATACACTATTTGTACGGAATCTTGATAAAGCATCAGGTAAAAGTTTTTGATGATATTCAATGGATCTATATAAATAATCTTTCGAGAATTTCAACAAAAACCAAAAAATCATTATATTACTCTGCGGTAGGCCAACAAACATCAAGTTGATAATGTAAAATTGAAAGTAGATCAAATTGAATATCATTTAATTGATATAATGCTTGAATAATACGATTCATATAGACTGGTTTTGTCCAAAAACATTCATCATTATAAAATTGACTGAAAAAAATGTCTTTGTATTATTTGTTTTCTTTTTTTGTATTTTAAATTAACTGTACCTCACAAGTTTAGTCATCATAAAACTTTGCTGTATAACATCACCTAAACGATGATTTTGTAAACAAAAACGAAGAAATAAACGACCACGACCAACAGAAGTTTTTACATCTTGGGTATTAAGAACATATAATACTGTATCATATAAACCTTTACTTTCTTTAAGTGCAAGAACAAAAAAATTCCAATAATTTCGTTTATTATTTAGTAATGATCTTCGATCTACAAATGATTATTTCGATCAAAACAAAAAATTCAAACAAGTGTTTTTTTTCTTTTATACGTTTTAAATCAATTTGTAACAATTGTTCAAGATGTTGAAAAAATATTTGTAAATGCGTATTTGTATCATCAATAGGAGTTGCTTGCAAACGATCAATATCATTATTAGATATTGTAAATTCAGAATAAATTCTATTTGCTTTATCTAATATTACATGCTATATATTTTCTTGAGATTCTTTTATTTTATTTAAATTACCTTCGATTACTTGAATCGATCGTAATATAGAAGTAAGTTTACGAGTATCTTGTACAGACATTTTAAGTAAATGACAGATCACAAATTGCTCATGTGCTTTTATGTTTACTCTTAATGTACTGGAATTGCTTCTGATTGGTGATCGGTGTTATCAATAAGAGGAAGTATGAGGTCACCACTGATGCGGATGAATAAATTCTGCATGCATACTCTGGAGCGAGACACATGTCACTACTAGATGCGAGAAATCATCATTACGTTACTAAGTTACTGATGATGGACAAATTATCTTACATAAACAAAAGAGAAAAGATCACTGTTAATCACTGTCGCGCTAGTCAGTTACTCTTAATTAATATTTTATTATTATGTAATGGCTATCTGCTTAAAAAAATAGAATCTATTATATATATATCATTAGGAACAAATTTCGTTCTTTAACTTTCTAGCTGCAATCATATTTAAAAACATCTTCATTTTAACCATAGCGCCCTCACCTCATGCAGTGCTGTGTGTATAAAACACACCAATCAGTATGAAGGCGTGATAAAGGTAAAGGTTTACCGATATTTATCATGAGATTTAATGCTGATTTGGGTATGCTTCAAGATGTTATAGATTTATTCATAGTTTAGAGCGATCCTAATGCCTTAAAAGTTCGATGATTTTTTTGAAGTGTTGTATTCAAGAAAGAATACTTCTTCAGATTGCAAATACATCCATTTACCGTCATACTCTACTATGCTGGAGAATGCGTTCATAGAGTGTGTATAATCTGAATAAGAACTACAGAATGCCTTTGACTAGAGGTTTTAATTATGTTTTTTTTTTATTGTATTTGTATAAGTCTTAATTGATATGCAAAACGTTCAATAGACCTTGAAAATGAGTTAAAGTTCTTATTATATACGTTAAACAAACGGTAATGAGAGCATACAGTAGTTCGTCACAGTTCATTGAGCATTTATCCTCATTATTAACCTTTCTTTTTCATTTTTTTTCGATCGTCGTATACAACATACCAAAAACCTATGGGAAATTCAAAAAGTACACGAAAATTTTTGGAAGTGAGACGTTTAGAGGAAATTACAGGTATATCTCGACAACAATTTTCGAACTTGCACGACGAGTATAAACGTAAAAGTCTCGATGAAAATGAAGTTCTTGTGGATAGAAGTGATTGCCGCCATTTTATTAATCAAGTAGGTGTTGGTGCTAACAATCAAAGATTAGTGGAAAGTGCCTTTGAATTTTTCTTATGTGATGGTAAAATGACTACTGAACAACTTTTTTCTTGTGTGGTCATGTTGAGTGAAACAATGGATGGTGTTGATCGACTTACTTATGTTATTGATACGCATAATCCGAAAGGTGCTGATGAAAATATTATTACACGTAAATATGGTAGAAAAATTTTGAAATGTATTAATGAATTTTTTGATATTAAAAAAGCTGCTCCAACAGCACAAGTTTGGATTCAAATATGTGGTGGAACTGACAATCCAGAAGTAACACGAGACCAATTTATTAAATATGTTAGTACAACGCCTCCATATCGTGACTTTTTAGTTTGAAAAACTAAAATTTATATTCTATAGTTTTTTTTTGAACTACACTTTGACGAAATAAATATCTTTGAACATCGAAACATATAAAGGTATTTTTTGTGTTTATCCTCATTTTACATAGAAGCCCGACATCTAGCACAAACATATTATTCCTCAAAATACCAACAGTATTCATTGGTACAAATATCAAACGAATCTTCGAGATACAATATCTACCAACAGACTTTATCGAATTTTGATTCAAGTTTCGTTTTAAATAGTTTTCTTTATTTTTTCAACGTAATACATGGCATCAGGTGATGATGAACAATATGATGATAATTCATCAGGCTTTTTCTCTGGTGACCTTGATCAACATGATACAGAACGTGATTTATATGCTATATTACATATTAATAAAGATGTATGAAATTATTTTAATCAATAGTTATTCATAGAATATTATATTTTTTTTAGGCAGATGCTGCAACTATTCAACAAGCTTATCGTCGATTAACTCTTCTTTATCATCCTGATAAACATATAGATCCGCGAAACAAACAATTAGCAATGGATTTATTTATTCAAGTTAAAAAAGCTTATGATATATTAAATGATCCACAAAAACGTGCTATTTATGATGTTGTTGGTATGAAAGGTTTGAAAGCTGAAGGATGGGAGGTAAAATCGAATTTAATCATCATGATAAATACATTATTATTACTATGTATAGGTTGTTAGTCGAACGAAAACAGCTCGTGAAATTCTTGAAGAATATGAACGACTAGCACGAGAACGTGAAGAAAGGCGCTTTAACCAAATAACTAATCCAAGTGTAAATACATTAAAATAATATTCATTATCATTTATTTTATATATAGGGTTCGGTACAAATGTCGATAAATTTAACGGATATATTTGATCAAATAAATTCATCTGATGAACATAGGTGATTTCAAATAAATAAATAAAAGAATTTGTTTTGAGCTCTTGTTTTCTTTTCTATTAGTGATTTTTCACCGATCATTGAAATGACTGAATTTACTGTTGCACAAGGTATTGATATACCATTAACAAGTCAAGATACAGCAACAGTAACTGCTGTAGCAACAACACATAATGGACGTGGTTCAGGATCTTTAACAGCCTCATTTCGTCGTGTTCTAGCTGATCTATCTTGGTTTCGTGTATGCTTTTATTATTATTTGTTTGCTTTTCGTTTTTTATTACTGATAGAATTCTTAGATTGATTTAAGTTTTGGTCAACATAACCTAGCAGCATTTCATTATTTTCGTCGTCTTACACAGAAACTGTAGGTAGAAATTGTTTCATAGACGAATTCATTTTGACGTGATTCTTTCGTCAGTTTAGCCAAGCAAGCATGGCAGTCACATTTGGTCTTATTGATGGTGGTTCAGCTATAGCAATACCGGGCTTTATATTTTCTATTACTTACCAACTAGGCCATCATTTAACAAGTAGTCTTCAATGGAAAACAGGTATTGATTCATGTATGAAAGCTGGTCTTCATTATGATAATCAAACATTAGTTGTATCAAGTGCTATTCAAGTAATTATTCTTTATGAAAAAAATCGAACAAATGATATATTGAATAGATTTTAGCTCGGATTAGTCAATACGCATGCAGTCATCGATGGCTTATATCGATTTCCTAATATTTGCAACGTACGATGTAGTCTCAAGTATGAACATGGATAGTTAGAATTTTTTTTTGTTTTAATTTCATTTCTTTTTCATAAAGATTGTTCGTATTTGGACCATGGTTAGAATATGGTATTGATCGTCAATTAACGAAACATACACATGGTTCTGCATCAGTCGTCATTAGTTCAAGAATGGGTGTATTATTAAGATTAAAGTATGTTCATAGAAGTTCAATTCGAGGATAAAAAAAGAAACGATCTAAAACATTGAGTAGTTTTCAATTTTAGACTTTTATAAATGAGAGAGATCGATATCTATTGAAATTGGTCTCATGGAGAAATTTGATTTCTCCGATGTCGAGCTATCACAGAGAATGTCTGAAAGTGAGCACCAATAGAGTTAATCATACAGCACTTATTTGTGCTCTACACAGATCCATTAAAATAGTCAATAGTCGTCAGATTTACATTGAACCCGATTGTTGATGATATTCAGCACTTTTGATTTATTTATGTAATAAGTGACTAGGCTACTATTCATATGGTTCGACAGTATTTTTCCAGTGCTTCAAAATAGTATAAAAACATCAAGAAAAAAGCACTGTCCACACAAAATCTCAAGAACACTGTTCTCGAGACAAGATTTTAAACCCCTTTTACTGGTATTCCGTAGATTTCGATAAGAAAATTTCGATTTGGATGAAAACCAATATGATATTCAGAGTCAGCATCTCAAACTAAGGTGACTTACGTGTATTTCTAGTATTTTTCAAAAATTATTCTTTCGTCGAAAACTTCACCTCTAGTCCACACCGGGGTTACATCCAAAAATAAATTTGATGAAAACTCTGTTATTATTATTTATTTATATGCTGGTTGACGTTTTAATATCATTCTATTGCCTTACAACGTGATTCTTACTGCCAATATAACTTTTCGATGAAATCCATTTTCCAAAGCAATCCTGACAAAATGGTAATTTTCTTATCGAAATCTACTGAATACTAGTAAAAAAAGTTGAACATTTTGTCTCGAGAACGGTGTTCCTAAAATTTCTTTGTGTAATCAGTCTTTTTCTCTCTATGTTTCTGAACCATTTCGAAGCGCTTAAAAAGTGCTGATTATCATCAACAACAGGGTTCAATGCACACGTGACAGACATGAACTATTTTAATCGGTCTGTGTAAAACACTAATAAATGTTATATGATTTAATTCTACCAGGGCTTCCTTTCGGACATCTTATGTGATAGCTTGGTATAGAAGAAATTAAATTTCTTCCGCAGACTAATTTCAACAGCTATTGACATTCTCTTTTAGTATAGATTAATGAGATAAATTCATTTAGATTCACTCGTGGTAATCAAGCATTTAGTTTTCCATTACAACTTTCTCAAGATATTCTACCAAGTGCTATATTCTATGCTACAGTTGCACCGACACTTGCTTATTTTATACTTGATCGTCTAATTATTCGACCATTTACTCGATCTGAACAAGAACGGTACAAATCGATATATTTCATTTTCATTTGTTAAAGATTTTTCCTTTTAGAGAACAAAAGAAACATGAAGATGAAGCACGCGAAAAACAAACTGAACGAAGACGAGAAGCAATGAATGCTCAGGAAGTACTTCGATCATTTGTTGAACAAATTAAAGATACAGAAGGTCCACAAGGTTTAATTATACTTGAAGCACGTTATGGTCAATTAGGATTAACAATAACACATGAAAATTCAATCAAAATTATTGATGTTACTGTACCATTACAAGCACTTGTAAAAGATTCAACATTAAGAATCGGAACAACAGTATCAAAATCAAATTTGACCGGTTTTTATGATCCATGTATAGGGGATGAAAAGTCTTTATTTATTAAATATTCATTTCGATCACAAATACATACTGTTCTATATAAAGATACTGATCCTATTATCTTACCTAATCGAGGTAATGAAATTTATTTGTTTTAATCGATCAAAATTTAACACTTTTTTTTATCATTATAGATCATTTGGTTATATGAAAATTTTTATTGATCAAGATTAGTTATTCACATAGGTTAAATTATGGTTTCTGTGTTTTTGTTGATTTTGATTTTCTTTTTCAATAAACACGATTTAGTTTCTCCTTATTTAATATCTTTTTGAAATTGAATGAAATTATTCATAGTGAATATTCATTTCATTTTCTCGATATACTGTATATATTGGTTATACAAATGGATAAAGACAGCAAAGCTCAGTCGTTGTTTGCATCTTTCATAACACTTCAATTTTAATTTGAAGCGAATATTCTACTTTATGTTGATTGCGTTAATTGTTTAGTATTATAGGTTATTGACTTTGTCACAATGGATAAGAATTCCGTATATTCAACAAATACTCGTATAGTAACAAGATTTTTAAATGAAATTTTGTTCTTGGCAATAGTCAATGAAACTTTAATTAGAGATGCAATGGTCTCACCCACATCTTTACATTATAAGATTACTGTTATTAAGACATATTTTATCCGATACTCTTTTATAAGAAAGCACAGTCAGTCTCTTTTCAGATATTAATACGTTCTTGTCACTCTTTTCATTGTGTTGTTCAAGTCAAATAAACTTTTGTTTGTTTTTTAAATCATAAAATTTATTCTCCTATCTCAATCACTATTCATCCTTTTTTTAAACAAATATTATTAGATAAAAAAAAGAAAACAAATTTTCTATTCATAATGATTCACTTCTGTAAGTTTAGCTGGAAATTATCTCTGAGAAAATATTATGTTATATGAATCATTTATCTTGATTCATGTATCGAACTAGGGATTTTTTTAAAATGAAACGAAAAAAAAATGATCAAGTATATAGGCGCGTGTCAACTAAAACAATTTAATATATTTTATTTTCAATCGAATAATCAACAAATGAAAACAAATTCCAATGGCCGTCGATTTTTTGTTGGTGGAAATTGGAAAATGAATTATTCGAAATTACTTTTAGAAAGAATCAATGATACTTTAAGAAAAACAAAAGACATCGATGGTAAAAAAATATGCATAAAGCAAACATTCGAATTTCTCATCGATTTATTCTAGTCGATATTGTTTGTGCACCACCGATACTTTTTATTAGAGATTTTATTTTGTCTAAACCATCACATGTTCAAGTAGCTGGACAAAATTGTTATCATGCTAAAGAAGGAGCATTTACTGGTGAAATTAGGTAAGATAAAAAGTTTATTATTCTTTTATTTTTGTCTTCTAACTAATATTTGTAGTCCAGAAATGTTAAAAGAAATAGGTTGTACATGGGTTATTCTTGGTCATTCTGAACGGCGAACATTATTTCATGAAAATGACGAAGTAAAGTGAAAGACAAAAAACACTGATGAAATCAAATAATTTAAATTCTTAATTGAATTTTAATCTAGCTTTTAAAAAAGAAAATTGATTATGTACTTAATAAAACTGATATAAATGTAATTGCATGTATTGGTGAAACATTACAAGAACGTGAATCAGGAAAAACAAATGAAATTGTTGAAAGACAAGTTAGAGCATATCAAGGTAAACTGAATATTTTATTTTCATTTTTAATAGTTTTGTTTTGTTCTTAGAAAAAATATCAAATGATCAATATAATCGTGTCGTTATCGCTTATGAACCTGTATGGGCTATTGGTACTGGTAAAGTAGCTACACCTCAACAAGTTCAAGAAGTTCATGAGCGCTTAAGAAAATTTATTGAGAAAAATACTAATAGTGATATAGCGAAAAAAATTCGTATAATTTATGGCGGTATATGTTTATTATTGAATAAATTTATTTTGATTTTCAATGAATACATAGGTTCAGTTAATGGATCTAATTGCAAAGAATTAGCTCAACAACCGGATATTGATGGTTTTCTTGTCGGAGGTATGTTAAAGCTTCAAAAAAACAAAAAAGTTTATTTGAAAATCTTCTCTTTCTTAGGTGCTTCACTTAAAATAGAATTCGAACAAATTTGTAAAGCTCGTCAAAACTAACTCGTTTAACTTAAGATAATTTTATAAAAACTAGCCTGATATAATCATATTTTTTTCTAAAGTTAGTTCAAATGAATAGAACAAAAAGTAATGGAAAAACGATTTCTAATACCCCAAGCGTCTTATTTCGATAAGTAAATCCATATAAATTAAACCTAGAAATGCAAGTGATAAAAAATATATCATGTTTTTCATTTTGAGTAAAATTTCAAAGCTATCTTCATGGCTATACTTTATTGAAAGAATAACGAATAAAAAGATATTCATGTATGAAAATGAATGGCTCAAAATATAAAAAAAAGTTAGCTAGTGGAGCAGATGCAAAATATTACATTATTGATGTACATATCGAATATTATTTATATGCAGATAGACTTTTATTCAATGTTGTTCTAATCCATAAAATGGATATTAATACCGATCTGGCTTGGAAATATTTGCGACTTTTCTCTGAAAAAGAAACGAAAAAAGTTTATAAATGCAGTTGACTTTCTTCTTAAAATTCATTATTACAAGGTTTTTGAGATCAATGTCAAAACAAAAGATTTAAGTTCAAGAATGGTAACAAATAAACAGCTACGTGTTCCTCTCATTAACTACTTCTATCAGTTAGCACTACTATCAAATAGCGCTGGCTTTTGTTTAAAACATCATTTGTATACACATAAAACAAATTCTGACCTATATGAAAAAATAGGTTGCATCTTAAAAAAGGGGTGAACTTAGTATGGCGATTGAATGTTATCAAAAAAACAATTATTCTTCTTTTACAAGGCAAGTCGACAGTTCCTATATCTGACTCTCTCGTCCATGCTCAAACTTATACAAAAGATTTCTATTCAAACAAATCTTGCTTATCATCCATCTATCATGACACGATATAATATTCTAACTGATCAGCATCTGAAATAATAGAAACACAAATGATTGAGAATGATTGTGATACGATAATGAGTCTTTACGAAGAAACGCTTGAAACATGTATGAAGCGGAAGAAAAACAAGTCGTCAGAATAGAAAACTTATCTCTGAGTATATTGAACAAAATTTCAAAGATGAACGATTCCATCTCCATTTCAAACAACTGATAGAGCGATGGATATTTTTTTGCAATGTGAGTCAGAGAACTTCAGTTTTATTGCTAATATCACAATATATTATGAGCAGTACCAAACTTTTGCAAATCTGATACTCATAAAATTGAACAACTCTTGAATATACTTTCAGTCGATACGAGAAATAATTACAAGAAAGATATAGTCAACTGTTATTATCGAACTGCGAAAATATCAACAGAGTTCAATGCAAAGAAACTAACTACTATTATCTTGCAATCGATAGTGTACTATAAAACAATGAAATGAGATTACAAAAGAAGTTAAGGGCCCCCCCCCCCTTAGAAAATCCATTTTTTGGTAAAGTAATCGAAGTCGGGCTTTTATCATAGAAAGATGCAGCGAAGTTTCCTCTTTCAGAATATATATAAATTTTTAAAAAAAGGTCAAATTTTTACAGACTTTCGTAGGAGACTTCCAGCTCAGTACACGGTTTTTGGAGAGATTTTCGTGGTTNCAAGTGTGTTATTCATATGTTTTTGTTCGGAACAAATTTGATTTGTTTCGCTCCGCTCCTGCCCCCCCCCCCCCCCATCCTTCTCAGATTTTATGCCATGTCTACGAAAGTCTCGAGCTACCTATTGTTTGAAACTTGTCTGTCGCATTTTATAAAGTAGCTTTTCCCAGTCACATTCTACCAACCAGACTATCACCGACTGTATGTCAAATTTTTAACCTCTTCTACTTCGAAAACTTATCGAGAGCCTTAGTTCTATGAATCTTATTAAAATATTCATCTAATGACAAACAACCATATGTCATATCGTAGAGACTTGTTCATATTGTTGTGAAATAATTTCAGCGTAATCATGTTGAATGCATAATCTCTTTTTTAATTCATCAATCATATTACATATAAGTTTGAATTGTAGATGACAATATTTCCATTAAGTCAGTGGTGTTAACTTCGCAATCCAAGTGTGTGAAAACAATCGTTTTAAAACTATCCGATAGTATCATTACTGTTTTGTCTTATTTCTTTCTCTTCAAAACAAGATTTCTTCAGTAAATTATGTCGATGAAACGAAAAGATATTGATAGAAAAACATCTTTGCTCTTTTTTTTTCTATCTTATTCAATTAATGAAGTTTACGTCACATTTGAATGAACATTGATCAAATCAAAGAGATAATTTTCATTCGATCATCATTATATACATTATCCTCTCATAATACATTTTCTTTCCTATATCTTTGAACTTGTATTTTAAACCTTAAAGAAAAATTTCCGGATAAAGATGAATAACAAGAAGAAAAGCGTTGTTACTTTGATAAGATATTCTTCCTTCTCTCATATCAAAATATTTAAAAGAAACAAGTAGCTTGTTCATTTGATCAATCAAACGAACTCACAGTGTGAATTTCAAAACAACAAAAAGAACTTTTATCGATAAGATATAAATCGAATTCTTGGAAATTAGCCAGAATATCATTTTAACATCCCTATTGGTTGCATGTTAGATTCATGCAATAATATATGTCGATAGAGAGAAAAAAACAAAATAGAAAACGAGAGAGAAAAACATATATGCATTAGATATTCGTCGTTCGAAAAAAAAGAGGAAAAAATATATAGAGGAAACGACGACAAATATAGACGAAGTGGTGTGTGTGTGTATATTCGTACGATTCTTATTGTCTCGACAAAAGTGCCTTGATATTCACTACCACCATGTATATTCATTCAACAAATCAACATTCATCTTGTTGTATGCATAATATGATTACATCAATTGTTATTGATAAATGTTCATTATCTGTAAGTATTGAAAGTCTTCTGGAAAAACAAAATATTAAAAACTCTTTTTTTGTTGTTGTTTTGATAGAATATTTCATCAACAAAAATTTATTCAAAAGTTGTTGGTGGTCCTGTTTTACATACAAATCCACAACCTGTAACAACACATACAACAATGGATAATAATAGTAAAACAACATCACAACGTTATAAAACTGAATTATGTCGTTCATATCATGAAACTGGCTTATGCAAATATGGTGAAAAATGTCAATTTGCTCATGGTTATCATGAAATACGTTCATTAAATCGACATCCAAAATATAAAACAGTACTTTGTCGTACATATCACTGTACTGGATACTGTAAGAAATTTTAAAAAATCTAATTTTTCACATAAAATTTTAACCATGTTTTTTTTTATCATAGGTCCCTATGGTCCAAGATGTCATTTTTTACATGATGAATATCCAGATACTTTACCATGTAATTCTATATCATCATCATCGTCATCATCAATTTCACCATCATCATCATTTGGTAGTGATATTCGTTCATCAGTATCATCATCACGTTCAATTTCACCAATGGATTCTCCAATAATAAATTCTGATGATTATTTATTTCTTCCTTCGTTTTTATTAAACAAGTAAGAATGAACAAAAATTTAAAAAAAATTTCCAACATATTGATGTATATGCTGCATAAAAATGAACTTATTTTTCTATTTATATATACGTATATATATATATAATTACGTCTGTTGTGTATGTATAGCTCATATGTGATTTGTTTCTTGTTATTAATTATTATTATTTTTTCTTTCTGTTTGTCTTCTAAACTAAAATATCCGTACAACCACATACATTTATCTAAATAGAAATGCGCATTGTATGTGCAAGATAAAATGAACTTTTTCTTTTATATATATATTTTTTTCTTTCGTTTTTGTTATGTTTCACATACATTGCTGTATTGTTTGATGATTTGAAAATTTCTTTATTTAAAAAGAAAAAGCTAAAATACATTTGAAAATGGCTTGAAATGCATCATTAGATTAATATATGATTAAAGAATCTATTTTTTTTTATTCTATGAATTGCATGTCATGTCAATGAAGTGGAAACAAAAATGACTGTTTTACATAATAATGATCGATGAATGAAAACTAATGATATTCTTATTTGATTAAACTAAACAATTCAAACGATTTGAATATGACTTGCCGAAGGAAAAGATTAGAATATTTGCAATATATATATATACAAATGTGATATAATCTATTCATGTACATACGTATAATAGAAATAATTTTGATATTTTATATGATTAAAAAATTGAGAAAAGAAAAGAAATTTCGTATGCATAAACTTAAGTGATTTTTTTCTTGTATCTATAAAATATCTTCATTCTACAAGTAGTATTCGAATGCAGTCTGAATACAACGATTGGATTTTATCGCTTCAATTTAGATTACATTAAGCAGCAACAAGGCATAGCTTTGAAGTATTTGCTTTTCGTTTGGGATCTACACCGACCACAGATAGATGGACCATGGCTAACATTTATATTTTTCACATTTGAATAAAATTGGTTTATATTCATCTAGATTTTGGTCATTTTTTTATAATTAAAGTTGATGATCTGACATTACATTACATGTTAATGTGTTTGATTTGTCTTTGAAAAAAAGACAAGAATTCTACTTTTCGGATAGAATGTTATGTTCATTGATGCGTTAAGTTGTTTGTAATTTAAACTTGTCAAGTATCATTCTTATGCATCAAACAAATACAAATGTTTTTTGATTGAAACCGTATGTTGATAGTAGTCTCTCGACCATAAATAGTCTATATACAGTAGCTTGTATATGTGTTGTTTCACAACTGTCTGTTTTGTTGTCTTTTCTATCTATCATCATCTCGAGTTTCCTAACATAACAATACACAGGAGAGGATATACGATGCACACTTGAAGATGAAGAAGAAAAAAGCTTATTCAAGTGTGTGAAAAAGAAGAAGCATCACATCTTAATGTGTATATACACTTGCTGAATTTCTTTGCTCTATTTGTTGGACAAATGATGTTGTCAATAGAAGAACACATAATAATATGAGCTATTTGTATATGAACGTTCTTTTCTTTTTTGTTTTGTTTTATTCTCATCGTTATGCATCATGAACGTCTCATCTTTTTGCCTCTTTTTCGCACCATGCAAAGCATCGTGCTGTGAAGGAAATATTTTTTGGCATTCTGTCACGCAGCAGTAAAGTAGATGAAATCAGAGATGTGTTTGTATTAAACGTAAGATGAATTGTTTTTTCGTTCTTTTTCCTGCTGTTTCGGGCATTAATTAAATGAACATTTCTTCATATTTTAAAGCAAGATTAGCTTGAAGTATAGTTATACGTAAGAGTCGTTTGTACAATCTATTATATATATACATATATATGATGTGTTTGATGTTTGAAAAAGAAAAACAACGACTAATAAAAATTGAAGAATGTATCAATATCTTTCGAGATTTTTCTTGTTTTTTTTTAAATTTTTTTATTTGATTTTCTTCACACCTATCTTTTCAATTGATATACATATATATGAAATAATCGAGATAACATTTAGTTGTTTTACATATTTATTGGTCCATGTAATTCTTCAAAATAGTTCATTACGTATTTTTCATTAAGATTAATAATGTTTTTGATGTGTTCCATATATGATACAGATTTTAAACGAGCATAAAATTCATGTACATATAAAATTTGTAATGGATTATGAATACTTGTTGGTCGTATTTTTCTTACATTTGAAATAGATTGACATACCCGACAATAATTTTCAAGTAACAAAGGATAATGACAAACACGTTCAATAAATTTTTGTTCTTTTTTTTGTTCATTTTCATTCATAATATAATTATAAAGAAGTTCAAAACAGACAATAGTCATACCAATTCTTTCCATTCTACCCATATAATGAATAAATAAATTGTTATGATTAAAATTTATTATAATACTATATAAAAATTGCATATAATCACTAACTGATTTTGGTATACAATGATCATATATTGGATATATAATATGTTCAATATTTGCACGTTTAAAATGCATTGAATATAAATCTATATGAGAATTTTTATTATTTGTTATATTCATATATGAGAATTTATTTGTTTCATTTAATGTTAATACTATATCAACATTAATTTCATTTAAACTATCTACAAGATTATTTATATCATAATCTATATGTTGATTAGATAATTTTGATATAAATAAAAAAAATTCATTATCATTTGATTTTAATAAAAATTTGTCAAATTGACATGTATCATTAGTTATTGATAATTGATTATTTTGTTGTTCCATTGATATCATATGACGATAACAACATGAACATAATGAATTGTAAAAATATGATATAATCATAATTAGAATTATTAAAAACAATAAGATCGTTATAAATAAATAAAAAATAAAATTAAAGTACAATATTATTGATGATAATAAATATAGATATGATATTATTGTTAATGTTAAACATGATGTTAGTAATATAATTAAACATATAAATGGTATATATGATAAACGAAAACGACGTTCAATCCATATTAATGAAAATAAAAATAAAAATATACAATTTATTGGTGGTAATATTATTAGAAATTGAATTTGTTGTTGTGGATGATTATAACCAATATTAACTGTTAATATTGTTAAAAGGATTGAAAATATTGAAAAGATAAATGCAAATATAATACTTGGTGATCGAATAAGTAACATTGATCTGTTTTTTATTGATCTAATAGACAAATAAAAAAAAAACAATTCTAGCTCATGACATATATTATAAGTCATAAAAAATATAATAGATAAAGAATTATAGCCTATGAGAAATCTATTATAGATTGATGCTTAGTAATATATATGTCGCAATAACCTATCAAAAAAATTTCTCTAAGAGTTCACTGACCTTAGTGTTCGCTCTATAAACTTCGACACTGATAGCTAAACTATTCAGTCTGCTGATACTGTTCAATCAATTTAACATCTATGAAAAATTTTTCTGTCGTATGATGATGGTAAAGTCTTTCTCTTTCGAATAGAATCAAGTAATTTCTCAAGTACAATACTACAAATAAATTGAGAGTGTTGTTTCTCTAAATCAATACGAAAGCTGAATAATAAAACAAATATTAAAAGACGAAGAATACTGCAATCTATTTGATTTATATATATGACAAAAAAACGACATGCTGGTCGATGATTTTTCTCTAAAATTACTTTATCTATCATAAATCATTATCATCAACCTCAGATTCAACAGCTAATTAATTACGCATAGGAGCAGAACAGTGCATAAAATGTATATCAAGTTTTTCTTCTCACCAGAGTTTTCAATAATACAGAGATTATGAATGAAAAGAAAAGAAGATGCACAAAAAAAATACAGACCAATTGAGATTAATAATCCATGCGAAATAAACTTCTAGGATGAAAGAATAATCGGATATACTATCAATCTATTGAAAATAGTTTCAAAATAAAAGGTGACAGTGCTATTCAAATTTTTCATTCATTATCCTAGCAAGTTTCCGGAACGGATATAGTAATAAGAATAAATATAAAACATTAGATATTGATGAAGTTAATGCAAGTAGTAGATGCATCCAGGCTTAGCATTACATTAAATGTTTTATAATACTATTTTTAGTAAAAAAAATAAACCTACATAGATCGATAAAAATGTTTTATCTAAAAATAAATATGATATTATTCATACAAATAACTTATTGTATTTAAAAACTCACATTTTTAATATGCTCCAATACGTGAATAATAACAAATTATTATTAAGATTCGAATACTCAATGTTTGTATTTCTACATCAAGCAGAATCTAGTAGTATTCTTCAGTAGCATGTAATCGAGGGTTTCTATGTATCAAGGCATTCTCGTTTTTCTCTAATGCATTATAACTAAATAAAAGAATCTATATTTTTGTATGTAGTTGAGTATGTTTTCTTGTTATTTCTTCCTTCATTCATTAACACTTGCCAAGAAAATACAATTTGCTTATTAGTTTAGAGAAGATAGAAAATTTCTGCAGGCATATCCTTGTATAATTATACGATTCAATGACTTGAGAATAATTGATTGAAATATATTTTGTCACAGATGTTTTTTGGTAAGTGAATATCTTATATAAATGACTTTGTCAAAATGTGACTTAAAATTTGGAATATAAAACAAACAAGATGATTATTGTTGGAAACGAATAATAATAGGTCTATGATGCGCGAGTAGAATATATATTTGGTAAAAATAAGAATGATTTTGGGTTATTTTGACATATATTATAGACTATTTCTTTTTTTTTTTGTTTATGACAAAATAATGTACTTATGTTATTGTTAAGTGAAGTAAATTGTTGCTTTAAGAAAAATAGGATTAGTTAGTAAATAAATTGGCGTTCTGTGTTTTAGCTAGAAGATTTGATTGAGCGCTTGTTATCCTCATTTGAATACACTAATATGATAAATAAAATTGACAGAAATTAAACGAAAATGTCATCAAAATGGGATGACCAAAAATTGAAGACCTAGTACTTAATTCCTTTATTTATCTTGTTTTTATTTATTTTTCAGTAGATTACAGCATAACATTTGAATAATGATTGTTGAATCAATATTGCGGAATAAGAAAGTTAATTATTGGATGATTCAGAACGTTGTAATAAGGTATTAACAATGATGATTTCAATAAAAGATTATATAAGATATAAAAATTAATATATTGAATAGATTATTATAGCTTGGTTTTCATCAGTAATCAATGATTTTTGTTTTTAAATAAAAATACATGAAATATTTGAAGTTAAATTAATATTCAAAGATATTTCATTTGTTATTCATTAAATTATGTCTTACCAGACTCTTTTTGATTGCTGAAAAGGAAGTACATTGTTTTTTTTTGTGATTTCACAAGAACGGAAACATATAGACATCAATATAAAATATGTGCCAACAAATAGCATAGAACGTGTAATGAAACATTCTCTCGAAAGAATCTAGAAAACCTATTTATTACTATATCTTTGCTTATGCATTGATAAATGAAAATAAATATGTATTTATATATTATATTAATAATTGTAGTATTGTGTTTTTGTCGGAAAATCACATTGACTCCAATTGTATGGCTCTTATCATAACAGACATCAAATATTGGAAAGAATGAAAAAAAACTGAAGTAACGTGGTCTTCACTCAATGAGTAAATATTTTGATTAATGATAGTCATTTCAATGTAGATAACTAGATAACATTTGAGTTTCACTCGACTGCACAGTGCAGTGCGATGTTTCCAACGTCGATTGACAGATAGAACAATGTTTTCCAGAAAAGAGAATAATCGTTTGGATGATTCTGTATGACATGCTTTTCTTCAAAAAATAATCACTCTGTACTGCAATTAGGACTTCTTTTTTGTCGTTGTAAATCAATCAGAAGAGAGCTCTATTAACCGATATTAACATGATCTTAAAGAATGTTCTCTGATTCATTATTTATAATCAACTATATTCACAGTCGTCTTCGCCATGAGCCAAGAGAGTGGCAGCTAACTTTTATTGCTACCTTCTTCTTAGTAATCTCAAAACTTTAAAAAAACAAAGTTCACAAAAAGTTGCTGTTTTGAATGGTTTTCTGTAAAAAAAATGAAACATCATACTAAAGATCAGAAAACGGATGCTATCGATTCGATTACGAGATTTCATTGTCGCGTTTGAGTGAATATTTTTTGATTTTTGCTTCTTGAGGTTATCGTCACAGAAAATGACAACTTTTGATGTTTATGTCAAGCAACAAGGAAAGGAAAAATTCGCGAATAATTGCATTAACCAGTCAGTCAATTCACCGTTGGATTTTTAACGATCTTTATTTTTTCTCATAAACGTTGGTTTCAATCAATTTCAAAGGTCACTCAAACACTCATTGTTGTTATAATCAAGAATTATTCGAACATATTGTCAATTAACCAATAAATAATTTTAACCAGTTTTTTGTGCACTTAGTTTGACAAATAATGTCATGCTAGTATTTGATACAGATGATGAACCAAATTTAATTCACAAAAAATATCTTAGACACAAATTTCGTTAATGTTGGTCTTGAGAATTTAATACCAATAAATGGATGTAATCTTAATATGGAAATAATTGTACGAAATTATATTTTTGAAGACGACAAGGTAATACTCTTTTATCTATCTAGTATCAAATTAGTTGACTGAATATAATACAAAGAGAAAACAGCTTGAAAGGTTTGTTTTTTGAAGACAAAATGAAGTTTATAAAAGATTTATTTCTATTTATTCAAATGAATATTATTCCATATTGGATATCATTGTAAGAATTCTGTCATGAAAATAGCCTTGCTTTATTTGTTCTATTAAAAAATATGAAAACTCATATGCATCTTCTTCATATGCAAAATGATCGTACAGCAATATTAAAATTCTAATGCTCACATACCTACATTTTACATGAAAAGAAGTTGAAGATAGAATTATATATAGTTTAACTAATCATGGAAGATCAAAAAAGTTTTAATGGAATATCATCTAGAGCGCATCATGCTGAACTTTGTATTACATTCATTACATTGAATGAACCTAATGAAGAATCAGTTTTGAGTTATGTATGCAGGAAGACAAAACTGTACTTTGTTGACTTTTCTAATTTTTTTTTAATTAGATATTTTTGATTCAGCTAATAATGAACCATCCAGCAATACTTGATGACAATTGATTGAAAATGGTCATATTGATCATATGAATAATGACATATAAAAATTGTAATGCGAGTAGTACATGACAATTAATCAACGATTTAACAATATATAATAATGAACAGTTAGATTAATGCTAAAGAGATTGATTGAAAAGAAAATGAATACCTGTGCCATATTGGCATGACATATAAACACATATTTTTCATTTGTTTTCTTTTTGTTGGTTATAGATCAGAGCTGCTAGCCTGGCCTGCTATCTGCCAGGCGCCTAGCAGGCAGCAGGTCAGGCCAGGCTAAGGTTCTTAGCCTGGTTATGATTTAATACTAACACTTACAGTATTCAATTCTAAGAATAAGACAACGTCGCGAGTCGATGATGATTGCCTCTGATATTTTCTGTTGATCATCAAGTCAAATCAATGTTTTTATACTTTTTATAAGGTTTTTTGACCGTGTCTGTTACTATTAACTTTCAGCTCTCGAATGTTTAGAATTTTCAATCTCTTTCTGAATTTTCTCCTTTGATGATACACAGCTACAATAATTTCTAGCACTTTTTGTGCCAAAACTATTTAAAATTCTTCTTACTTATTCAATCTTATGCTAAGGAAGATCGCGTTACTCATTTAAAGAGTTTCATGGTTCCAAGAGCTGGTCTAAACTAGAATCGAATTCAGAGTTTCGTTTAATGAACATGATGGAGAATTAAGTCTTGTCCACTCGTAAAATTATAATGTGAATAAAAGTCATCAATCCTTAAGATTAGTAGAAGGTTTTAAGCTAATTTTGAGAAGTTCTCATTCTTACGTATTTGAGATTGAAGATACCTTACATATCAGCAAGTATTCAAGATAATCGATACTTACCATATCCACGTAGTTATAACTTTATTGCAAAAAAATTCAAATATCTCCACATAAATTCCTAAATTTCAACCTCTACTTGATTGACTACGTGTTTGAAAGTGTTTCATTTCAGAATTCAGGTCCATATTCATGTGTCAAAGATTTTCATAAAACCGATCTTAAAATTGATTCATAAATACTCTTAGTTGCGAATTGGCATACTAGATTCTATTGCTCTCATGAAAACAAGTCGGATCACAAATTGAAACGTATACAATGGATTAAAGGTAATTTGTAAATTTCATAATAATAAAAAGTTTGAAACATTAGTTCGCCTGGTTTGACCTGCAGATGCCTGCAGGCCAGGCCAGGTTGAAAAAAGTGGCCTGTTGGCAGCTCTGCTATGGATGAATGATTATTTTTTGTAATATTATTTGTTGCGAAACGCTAATGGCATCAACAAAAATTTTCAAAAGAAAATAATAGGAAAAATAATACTAATACGAATGGAATCGAAACTATGAAATTTTTCAATATTCGAAGAACTTATGAGTGAATTTGATTTACACAGGATAGAGACAAATGTGACTGAAACGATTTTAACGACAACAACTTAGTCAAGAAATCTCAATATATAATATTTTTCTTGAATACTTGACTTCAAAAGTTTGTGAGGTATAAGTAGCATCTTAGAGACATAATTGAGAAGTTTCTATTGTTAGTTATTCAAAACTCACTTGAAACGAAATTTACTCAAGGAAACGATTAGAAAATTTTGGAAAAGCACAATTCTTTTTCCAAACATATGGCCAGACATTGCCAAAGTTATTTCGATTAGATGACATCTGTAAACTTTCGCTTCATTGTATAGCCGATTTGAATGCATGCTCCAAACTCTGAAATAGTCGAGACCATAGTGGTATAGGTACCAGTAATCATAAACATATATGACATTTGTGTTTTTTTTTCTTTTGAATTTTAACTTATTCATTTGTTTTAGATAACCTATTAGTAAAATTGTTCATAAAGAGCATTAGAGTTCCTTTAGAAAATTAAAAGTGATTTTTGAACTTTTCTAAAGATAGCATTATGGCAAGGGAAAATCCTATGTAATACTTGATAAGGAAGAAAAATATGAAGTTTCACTTCCGTTCAAAAACAAAATTTCAAAGATAACAGAAGAAACCGAAATATAACTTCTACTACTGACTGTAACAAAACTAATCGAAATCTTATATTTTGATCACATTCTTGAGCCGATTGTTGAAGAGATTTACAGATAGCAGCAACATCTGTGAAGATCCCTTTTATTTTTGGCCTATTGTTTATGCCGAGCTGAGTTCTCACGAAACATATAGATAGTATCGACCTGTGAAATCTTATAAATGATGGAAAGAGTTGTTTGCCTCAGGGCATCAGAAACGAGCATGAATATTTTCTCTTCTTGAATATCAGTAATGAAATCGATGCATTTATCGACATCTGTGAATGTATTCACGTTGTTGACTATTTCTTTTAATTTTGAAATGGTATGTTCGCAATCTTTACTCTTCTCTAAATCAATGCTGCTGTCGAGCCACATGAGCAAAAGTTCTGAATCATACGAACATAAGAGGCTGTTGTGGTGTTATGCTTATATGTTCAGATGGCAACGGAGCAGCAGCAGTTGCTGTTGTTATCGGCTTTTGCTTTGTGCCCATGATGTGCATGATATTTAATCAATGAAAAAAATAAAATATCTTGAACTTACATAGTATATTGAAATATTTTTAGATGTTTCTATTTAATTGTCATTGTTGTTGTCGTTCAAGCTCTTTTTCCTTCTCATTTCACTTAGGTGCTTTATTCCTTTTTGTTGATCTATTGTTGTCTGCAGTATCACAAGATGATGAATGAATGAGACAAAAATTGCAACATTATTTCAGACACTGTATCATATTACACTTTCTTTTTATAATGCCTGGAAGTTCTCTCTCTCCTTCTCTTTATGTTGCTGTAAATGAATTCCTACATAGAAATAGAATAGAGCACATTGCTGTTCAAAAATACGTTAGAAATTCATATTTGAGTAGGTGCTTTCTGCCCAATTGGGTGTTCAGTATCAGACGAAATCGATGAGAGTATACGTAGAGGGTTTTTTATTGTTTCTAAGAGTTGTGTTTTTCTTTTTGAATGAAAAACAAATCAATTCTAACGTAGAATACAAAAAGATTTTTTTTTTTGGCATGCATATTCTCACACTATTCTGAAGGGAAAACAAAATAAAATTATCATCATCGTTTATTTTGTTTTAAAAACGAGAAGTAAGACCCAAAAAATAATGATTCGTATTGGGTTGAGAAAGTAAGAAAACTCATGAATGATTACTATACAGTACTTTGCACCATAATAAAAAGTAAAATAATTCTTATTTTAAGAGGTCTTTATTTCGTTTCTTTACATACAATAACAAGAAAATAGATACTATACATTTTCCATTGTACACTGTTCAATTATCATTATTTATATGAAAAAAGAACGTTGCTGTTAATTTGATTTCGTCGTTTTGTTTTGCTTTTCTTTTTGTTGTATAAAACAAAAATTATTAGTATGAACATCGATATAATAGTAGGAAGAGAAAAAGAGAAAATGACATATAGAGAATATCAGACATCAAGACAAGCACCGAGAAAGATTAGATTAATATAAATAAATATATATATATATATATCTGTTATGATCGCAATTTAATCATGTGATGGTCGTACAAGCATAAAATTTTCACCAAAACGCTTTAGAATGGTTAAACCATCTTGTTCTAATTCATCAATACGTTCATTATTAACAAATTGTTGTCGGTGATGTGCATCATACATATATTCAAAAAATAATTCATCACCTTGAAATATGGTTTGTTTGGCATAAATACCAATACGATAATCACCTTAATAGAAAAGCAATTGATATTTATTTTTTTTTAGAATAGAACTATGAAAATATTTACCATTGACTAATTTTATTTTTGGAACACAATTTGGTTTGGATGAATGATTAGCAAAGCTAAAAATAAGATTATTTTCATTTATTTCAAAAGATAGTTTTAATATCAAATTCAGTTGTGATTTATTTTTTTGTTGTTGCTAAGAGTTTTTACTTCAATAATTTTATTAAATATAGTCTCAACAGAATTTAGATATTCCGTCACAAAGCAGAGATCAATATTTGGCTCAAACTTTTCTTTCTGTGAAAGGGTTTATTGTTCAGTCACTTAGGAACACTTAGTTAGAACTTCACTTTTTCTCTCGTTTCGAATATGTATTCAGAATCCCCATCTGAGATAAGAGTAAACAATTATCCTATCGATTGTTTCAAAAGGTTTAGAATAGTAAGTGTACAGAATAATATTTCCGTCAATTGTGTATTTCGATTGAAACCCATCAAATTCAACATGCGAAACAGTTTTTAATGTCTCAGTTCTGTAGAGCAAAGTTTACTTTACAAAGCTCAGAGAGATATTCCTCCTGAATCTTCACATTGGATAGAACACTGCCAAAGGTTGAATATCTCTTTCTGCAATATTCTAATATGCACTTTTCTTTTCCAAGTAAATCAATCAAAGAATTTTATTTGTAATAACTAACCGAATTTTATTGCCAAATTGTCTAGCATCAACACAGCGTTGTGTATCAAGATTAAACAAATAAGAGCACGCTTGTTTATCATAGAGACGACCACGTCTATCAGCTTCTTCTTCAGATATGATTTCACCAGTATACTCTGCAATTAAATCACCGGGATATGCAATTGGTGAACCAAGAAAAGCTCCATAACCAGCAACTAAAACAATGAAATTAAAATAAAAAAAGGACAAACCTAAAATAACATTACCATCTGATTCTGCAACAAGTATTTGTTTATATAGTTTTCTTTGTATTGAAATATTTGCACATGTAATCATAGGCATATTTGATATTGTATTTGAACTCAATGATGTTCTTGAATTCATACGTTTTGTTTGATTTCGAACTAGTTTATATGATGGTTCAACAGTTCGACATGATCGAAGACTATGTTGTCTTGTTGGTAAATTTTCATTGATTTTTGTTCGTGTATTTCTTCTAGATAATGATGATAATGACTTTCTTTCAACTATTGTTGTTGTTGTTGTTATTTCTGGTTCTCTAAAAAATAAATAAAATTCTTTTATTTGGTTTTTTCTTGTTGTAAAATAAATAATTTTACGATTTAATTATTGAATTAAAATCATCCATTGCATTAAGAAATAAAGATGCACCACATTTATGACACAAGTCAGGATCACATTCTCGACCTTCAGCACAACATAAACAATTATTTAATAAGCATGCACCTTTACATGTACAACCCGGAAATCGATGTGGACAATCAATTGAACAATTACAATATTTTTCACAATATGTACCATTTTGCATACAAGAACAATTATGATTTGATGGTACACATGGTCCATCATGTAAGCAGGGTTTATAAGCAGGTTTTGATGCTGTTGATTTTTGATTACTATTATTATTGTTATTATTATTATTATTATTATAGCCATGTTTTTTTATATGAAAAAGAAATGCACGTGTTGCACCTTCTAACATTTTTCGTCTATATGGTTGTCGTATTGAAAATATTAAACCATTTTTTGATGATATATGTTCAGAAAAAAATTTTGCATCTAAGATAAATTGTTCATAAATATCTTGACATGTTCTATGATCATTAAATAAATGATTAATTAAACATAAATCACCATCGAATACAAAATAAAATAAACGAAATAAACTACGATCTGTTAATGTCCAATTATTAGCTAAATTATTTTGTTGTTGATCTAATTCATGAGATAATGGATTTGAATATTGATTTATCATATGATTTTCTATACGTGTTAATAATTGTTGAGATGAAAGTTTTTTTTGATGTTCAAGTAATTGAAAATGATGATCAAGACAAACATCATTACGAAGATTTTCATTATGAGAATAAATTGATTTACATGGTGATGAAATATGACTCAATGAAGTTGATTTACGTTGACGTTTTTTAACATTTTCACTTGGTTCAGATGATGTTGAAATATGTGTTTGAGAACAATTATGTTGTTCGTTAGCATAAGATGGTGATAAAGAACGTTTTAAATGTTCTCGTTCATGTTTATAACATGTTGAACTACATGGTGATGATTGATTATCATTGTAGATGAAAAATTGTTTTGGTAATGGAAGATGTGATGGTTTTTCTTTGTGTAATAAACAACTATATTGAACAAAAAATATATAATTAAAATATTGGAATAAAAAAATAAATATAAAAAATATCAATTAGGTCAAAAAATCATATCCAAAGTCTTGTAAGATTAAATGAAATCATACAATAAGATTTTTGAAAGATCCTACCGTTACATAAAATTTCCTATAATCTTATAATGGTATATTATAAGGCAGCAAGATCTTTCAAGAATTTTATAATGTGAATTAGCGTAAGATTTCTAAGACTATGATTTTCATCTTCTTGTTTGACCTGGGCCTATTCCTACTTCCATATGTTAGATCAATTCAAGAAAATCATAGGATACCAGAGAATTTTCACATTGGCTATCAATGATACTGTATAGTTGTTTGGTTCAATTTTTAATTAATCTAATTAATTTAATGTTTGGTACAGTGAAGAAAGATTTTCTTGTAATTCGTCTATTCTAAATTTTATTATATAAAGATAGAGCACTACTACTGTATCGGAAAAAGAAACTTTCTGTATGTTTTATGACGGATGATATAAACATTTTTACAATACCGTTTGGTATTACAGATTTTTCATAGTTAGTGATTGCAATCGAAAAAAGTAAATTCTACTTCGAGAGAGTCATTGCCAGAAGCTATAATATTTCATGAAAAAAAAGAAATCTTATTCAGTACTCTAACAAAAAAAAGCCTCTCTGTAAGATATTCAGATTAAACGTTGTTTTTGTATCACAAGTGCCAAGTGAAATTTTTAATTAAATCAACTGTTGTTCAGACTCTTGTAGGCTAGACTAATTATTTTAATATGATAGAAAAGCGTTCATTATAATTAATAAGTTGTATACATATATGATATTTCAAAACATCAAAAAATCCACAATGAAAAAGGTCAAATATCTATATTTGGATAAAACAATTGTGGCCTTTGAAAAAAATTTCCAATCAAATTTTTGTATATATTTATGCATTCGATAGTTTATTCTTTCTCATAAAAAACAGCAGGAGGAAATCTCTACAATATCGTATTACAACATGATATTAAAAATAAAATTAATGCACAACACATGCTTAACCCGTTATATTTATGCTTATGGAAGAGACAAGATTCATCGCTTAACGGTTGTAACCAATCAAAAACTGTTTATCAATATTTCTCTTATCGATCAAAATGTCCAATGACAAGATCATTAATCTTAACTATGAATATATATCTTTCGAAATAAATCTTACTTATATACATAACAACGTGGACAAAATTGAGAACACCATGATTTAATAATTAGATTCTCAATATCAATATCAATTATGTCACATGTATCAATATTTGCATGATGTCGATGATTATCATTTGAAAACAGTTCACATTGATTAGCAAATGTAATAAGTCGTGCTCGTGCTGTTGAATCACGATGATAATCTAAATAAAAATTTCTATGTGAATTCATTGAAATATAACATTTGTTTTTCTTTTATGTTACGAATTATAGCATCAATAATTTGATCATTTGTATATGCCTTCCAAGCTTTACTTGATCGTAGAGATTGATAAAGTGTTTCTAATAAATGTTCATCAAGTTTGTTTTCTAATTAAGAACAAAACAAAAAAATAATTGAGAATAAAAATTGTAAAATATTTATACTGCGTAAAATAGTTTTATTTTGCTGTAATGATTCACCGGATATTGAATTAATCAATTCTTGATCTTCGTGATCAAATTTATCTCCTAAATATGGAATACCAGTAAGATCACCACGTGTAGCAATATTTTTCATAGTTGGTACATAAGATATTAATTCTCGAATGGAAGACAGTGATGGCATTATAGTTACAATTGTTGAATGTTTTTGTGATTTTTGATTAGTACCATCTGATATAATAACTGACATAGTTCGAATATCATCATCATGATCTGTTGTTTTCAATTCTATAATAGAGTCAGGAATAGGAATTATTATTGGACATGGTGGTGGATGTTGAACTGCCTGCCGAAGAATATGACTAAATGAAAAAAGAAATAAGTTGAATAATATAGAAGTTTATAATTGAAGTAAATCGTCAAATTCATGAAAGAGAAATTTTATGCATATACGAAAGAAGAATTGTTGTTAACTGATCAATCGCTTTGTTACTAACAGTTAGTAGATTTTAAGGTTATTGATCATGCTGATTTCAAATATAAGCATGAGAAGTCTTCTTAAGTCTTCATATGCTGACTTTTCAGATCAATAAGTTTTTCGGCAAACAATTTTTTGATCTGTTCAGATTGTAGAATTTATCAGATTGCCTAAAAACCAGTGTGTTTCTCTATTTCAAATCGTTGTTTTGCAGAAAAAACCATCATTTTAATTCATACAACAAATATATGTCAACATTTCAATGTGAAAATCTTCAAGATGATATATATTTTATTTAAAAGTCATTTTTGAAAAAATACTCTATAATCTAACTAGATTCAAAACGATTTTGACAATATATTTGTTAGTCTAGAAAACCTGCATCTAAAGACCTAAGAGAATCTCTTATGATCATATTCGTAATCAATATGATCGATAACTCATAAGAAATTAGCGTTTGATGAGAAAGCGAATGATCAGTAAAAAACATTCTTTCGTAAGTAAAAGCGAATTTCATTCAATTGTAAGAATAATGAATAGAATGATTCGGGTATAATAAATTTCACCCGTTTTGTTTTCTATTTTTAATATAAAGCGAAAAGTAAAATTATCTAGATTTTTACCTACGTGATTAGAATATATATATATAAAATATTGTAGATTTAGAAATATTTGTTTACATATATTTCTTATCGAATTCATGAAAAAATGTCCAGGTTTTTAGTCAAATCTTACCGAGCTGCTTTTTGTGCAGTTTTATATGTTTGACGATAGAGCTTCGTATATTCATGTTCAACAGCTTGTCGAAGAACATCTAGTTTTTTCTTTGAAAAAAAACCCAAAAATTAAAAATTTTTATTTAATAAAAAAATTATTTTGTTTTTCTCTTCTTACATCATTCAACAATTGTTGTTGAGATAGATTATTGCTTTTTCTCGTTTCACGCATATATTTTTACAACAATTATTATCAAACAATTTATCTAAAATAAAATCTACGATCTCTAAAATTCTGCATAGAAGAAAAAAAACGAAATGAATTTGAATCGACGAATCCAAATAGACTATAAACATATTGGTTTATTTACAAGCAATTAATAGAGATTTTTTCTCCAATTGGTAAATAATGGATCGATATACAAAGAAAAAAAAATGAAATTGTTCTTCTGTTTTATATCTGTTGTTTTCTATTGATGAGAATATCGTCTTCAGATGGCAACGTACGGTGATACATTAAATCAAACATTTCCTAGATTATCATCAAATGGAGATGATGAATTATATCGTACGTTTCATACTCCATCATGTAATACAAAATCAACTGGTTTCAATTTTGAACAACAGTTTTTGTTTGGTAAGAAAGGAAAATATTGAACTAACGAAGAAATGTCTCGAACTATTGGGTACTGATTAAGCGCGCTTCCTAAAATATCACGTGGAACCCCAACCGTTAAATCATTGGATAGATACGACAATTTTAAGTCTCTGTTGAGATATTTTCACTATTGAATTACTGAGATTTAAGATGTCACATATTTTATTACTTAAACAAAATTTAGTAGTTTCCAAGTGTTTTTCTTCCACGATCTCCGTTTCAGTTTTTTGAAATCATCGAACTCTAGTTTTCGGTTTCTAGGCCAAGTATTCATTAGAACTTGAATTATAAGGTTTCCGCTAAAATTTCGTTTATGGACAAGTCTCGAAACCACAGAAAAATATTCTAAAAATTTTAGCTCAAATGAGTTTATTTAACGTGAGATATGAAGCGTTCAAAGAATAGTAATATCTTGTAGGCAAGATAATAGAATCGACTGATCTTCTACTGTCAACATCTCAAGAAAAATGTATTTGCTTCAACTAATATTTTTCGAATAGGCTTATGATTATGGTCCTGAAATCTATCTTCAGAGAAAACTTTAGGTGAAAATCTCCTTATTTATATTTTCACATCTATTTTCAAGAGGTCGGAACTCTGTCTCAGTAAGGTGTGAGTCCAACTTATTTTTTAGGTTTATAGAGAACTTACCGTATCTTATTTATTAGATAAACAGTTGTTCAATCGGCATCTAACAGTTGGCGAAGTGCCCTCGTTATTAAAAACGAAAAATTTGTTGTACAATACTTAAGATTGTTGATAGGGCAGAATCGATAATCTTTGATCGACCTTGTCAATAAGATAAATGAGCGCACAAAAGTATCATCGATCTGCGAAAGAAGTGACTACTACCATGGTTTACTAGAATAAAAATTATATAAAAGCACCGTCTTTTTAAATAGGATGAATATTTGACCGCTGTCTATTAAGCAATTTCATTCGAATAGGTGTTTTCCTTAGGTTAACATTTTAGACTTTGTCAAATAGAAGTTAACTAACATCAGGCTAGTATTAATCAGTCAGTCTTACACATGACATACATTTAATCTAACGTTGATAGTATCTTCACCATTAATACATAAGCTGAAGACTTTCATCTATTGCAGAATCAACAATTCATTTTTGTTATTACAGAGAACCTTGGTTAGGATTTAGCCAATAGCTGAGTTGAAAGTAGTCTTTCAAATTTGTGTACAGCCGAGATTCTCAATTAGAAAAAATTCTAATCTTTTATCTTGTATTTTTGTTTTTGTCATTAGATAATGCATTTCATTCAATAACATATCAACCAACAACTGTATCATGTCAACAAATGACAACTGAACATCTTGATCGTTTATGTTATTCTCCTAAACTAGTATTTTCTCCTCGTTTTACTTCTCAACCACCACAACCACAACCACAACCACAACAACAAATATCATCATTAAATACGAATCGTTTAAATCCATTTCGAGCATTTCTCATTGTCAATCGTTTAACATCATCAATCATAAGTGTTAATCGACAAGCTTGTGAATATTTTTGGTATACAGAAAATGAACTTAAAACTAAAACAATTGATAATTTGATCCTTGATGAAAAATCTTCATCTGTTATAGCAGATTCATTTTTAAGTCAACAAAGTGGACAAACAAAAATTCTTGCTGGAAAAATTGTTTATGTTCTACTTGGTACCGGTGAACGTGCTCGTTTTTCATTATTTATACAAGATCTTGATGGTGATGAAATACCATTACGTTTTTATGCATTTGAACCTATACATATAATGCAAGCAAAAATAACTTGTGATAAACAAGGTTTAATTCTATCATCAGATCATAATTTTTCTATCTTATTTCATAATACAATGATTGATAATAATCATTTAAATGACAATCATCATATTGGAGATTTTATTCCAACATTAAAAGATGAATTAAAATTTAAACAATTATTAACACATCGAACATATCGAACAACGGGATTATTAAATAATGAAAAAAATTTATTTATTCCATTAATGATAACTATATCGAAAAATAATGAAGATAATATTCAATTAATTTTATCAATTATGTTAAATATAAGTGGATTAATTATGTTAGATGAAACATATACTATTCGTGCATATAATCCTTATTTTATTCAATGTTTACTTGGATATCGTTCACTTGATTTAATTAATCATGTAAGTTAAAGAAAAAAGAAATTATTTATAATAAAAAATATTTTTTTGAAAACTATAAACAATATTTTATTCATTGAATATTCAAGTTATCAACAAAATTAATAGTTCGAAATAAAATAGACATTTTAACAAAAATAAATATTGATTAATTTATAAGATACATATTGGAATATACGGAGTGGGCCAACAGTAACAGGACAAATAATTTTTTTCTTTGTGCATTTTCAGTTGACTCTCATATTTTTACCGTATATACTAGGTGATATCATTCAAAGAAGCAGGAATTTGTCGAAAAACACATAAATAAAACGAAGCTTGCCAGTGGCACTATGTCGATGAACGTATGAATTAATATTTGAGCGATTGCAAAGACTTAGAGGATTACCAGATTGAGCAAGGCTTGTAAAAACAAAACGCTGTTAAATATACGTCACAAATACGTATTATTGTATGTGTCATTTTCTAGTTCTATTGCTTCAATAAACGTCTTGTTAGAAATTAGATTTGCTTCCTTACTTTTGGTCCCCTCCCTGTATTTCTACTCTTTTGAACAAATGACTAAACATAGATACTGATCATATCCTGCATCTTTGGATTATAGCACCTAGTGTATGTGGTAAAATATGAGATCTTACTGAATATGTATAAAAAAAGAATCGAAAAAATTAATTTGTCCTGTTACTTTTAGCCTATCCAGTATAGTTGTCGGCAAAATCAGCATAAACGACACATGACCATTTTTAAGTTATTTTTTTTTTGTGACTAACTTTTTTCCTATGAATATATGTAAAATTATGGATTGTTGCAGCTCACACCTGATTAAACTTGATTAATAATAACAAATAGACCCTATGTTTTGCAAGACCTAAGCGTCTTCAGACACTAGTTTTTTAATAAGCACTCAGTAAAGGAAAGGTCTATACGACTGAGTTTTTCACAGCATATATCTGCTATGTAAAAATGAACTAAAAGAAAAGTCACAGTTCAGAGATATGCGCATTTTCATTTAGCAAAATCAAGTTGTTAATAAAAGAAATTGCTTATATACAAGAATTACAATTTAGATACTGTCGAAATGAGAAACTGTTTCTAAGTTTCAAACATCGATTAGAATGCAATAAAAGAAGTTCTTTAAGGTTTTAACAATAGATTTATTTACAGTTTTATTCTTCAACAAGATTTTCGAAGTAGCGAGAGGCAAAAAAAGTTCAAATCTTCGCTATCAATAGGTTATGTCTCATGCTGATACATAAATGAGAGTAAATAAAATCATTTGAGAATACACAACAGTTGATTTTCAATCATGTATTAAAATCTGTCAGAATAATTAAATATTCCTCAATCTAATTTGTTGAATTTTTTTTTTCAAATAGCATATAACTGAAATACTCCCAGAATTCAATGAATTAAATGGTACACAATCAAATAATCTTTCAATCAGTACAAATAATGATCATGAAGATGAAAATCTTTCACGTCAATCATTAGCTGGTGATGACGAATTAAGTAAAAGTGATGGTTCATCAAATACACTGAATGATTCATCAATTGAAACAACACCACAATCATCTCGAGTATTTCATTCAATCGAAAATAAAATTCTTAATGAAAAATCACAAATAAATACGTTACCTATTGATAAACGATTAACAAGCGGTAGATTATCATCATTTAAAACTACATCAACACCAGTAGCAAAATCAACAATAAAATCCGATATTAAAATTGATATGGATGAACACACAGGTTTTAGTTATTAATTTTTTAGAATTAAATCTTAATTTTGTTTTTTATTTTAGCCTTTTTACAAACAATAGGTAAACATAAAAATGGAACATTTATTGGTGTTATTTATTCATTACGTCGTATTGATTTATCTGATGGAACATATCGTTATTGTATGTGGTTATCACGTGATAATACTGATCCACATTTAATTGAAATGCAAAAAATGCTTGATCATAATCAATCAATAATACCAATAGATGATTTATCAACATCATGTTTAAATATATCATCATCAATACATGATAATCAAACATTTGATACAAAATATATTATTACTCGACAACGTGGTCGTGGTGGTTATGGACAAGTTTATCTTGGTCATGAAAAATCTAATGAATCAAATAAAGTTGTTATTAAATTTATTAAAAAAACTAAAGTTAAAATTCATCGATATGTTGAAAGTTTTGAACCAAAAAAACGAATTCTATTTGAAGTTGCTGTACTTAAACAATTAAAACATCCAAATATTGTCGAAGTAAGATATGTCTTATTGGATTATAAAATAAAACCCAAATAGCAAGTTTTTCTTTTCGTAGAGAAATAAGCAAGCTTCACGAGCTTTCACTATTTCTTCTGATTTCGACAAAACTGATCAAAAACTTGATTGCCAGTGCTGATAAAGTTTTAAATTAAGTCTCTTTCCTAAAAAAAGAAGCTTCTTAGAGAAACGATGTGCTTGATGTCATAGAAGTTCCCACTTAATTAATGAATTTCTTGCAAAATTGGAACTTTAATTACTTAGTATCTTTATATATCAAGCTATATATATAGTTTCAACTGAAGAATCTAAAAAGATTATTGAGAAGAGTTCTTCTATTGATAAATCGCTTCATGCAACGTTTCAAGTTGAAATTCAAAAACCACTTTTCCTGGTACTCCTGGGTGGGACCACAGCATTCATTTAAAAACTACCGTAAAAGTACAGTATTTCGGTAGTAATGACCTAAGAACCTGAACTCTTCAGAATATGCATAGATCATTTGGTTCTATATAATGCATATAGTTTTGACTCAATAATGCTTTATTAATGTGGAGACTTCCCTCGTAAGACCAATGTTACATTTGGGCATATATAATTTCTTCCCAAATCCTCAAAATTATTTTAGTCTTTTGAACAACTCTTTTAATTGCAAAATTTTGGAAAACAACTGAGACAATAGAAAGTTCTCGATCTCCTATTGAGGAGATGGATTTAGTGAAAATCGCATCCGATTGGTAGATATACAAGAAGAAAGCCATTTCGGTTAATTCTTTAAGGAAAATCTCTATATATTTTACAATATGGAGTTTTTGTCTACAATGTTTAGTCAGTTGATTAATGTGAAGATTTAATAAATAATAAATAAAAAAGATCTCGTTGAATCATTGTAAATATATATTCAATAGTGATTAAATATTAATTAATTTTGTTTAGATTTTAGATGCATTCGATACAGATAATTATGTTCAAATGATAATGCCATTACATGGTCAAGGCATTGATTTATATGAATTTATTGAAAAAGGTGCCAAAATCGATGAACCATTGGCAAGTTATATTTTCCGGCAGGTAAGAGCTTTATTGCAATAAAAAAAAACAAAAAATAAGCCAATGAATTAAAATCTTTGAAATATCCAATGAAATATTTCTAGGTAGTCGATGCAGTAAGTTATTTGCATTGTAATCATATTGCTCACCAAGATATTAAAGATGAAAATTTAATAGTCAATGAACAATTTCATATAAAACTCATTGATTTTGGTACATATACGAAATTTTGATAGGAAAATTTTCATATAGGGTTTTTGTTTGTCATCATGTAGGTTCAGCGATATCTATAACTCAACCGGATATGTATACAAGTAATTTTGGTGGTACAACTGAGTTTTGTTGTCCGGAATTTTTTCACACTGGAAGGTTTAATTTATTATTTTTTTTCTCTTCGTACAAAAAAAATTCTCTTTCTTGTATTAACATAGTTGTCAACCATTTCTAGCTGATATATGGGCTATGATGGTAACATTATATGTAATAATATTTCGTCGATATCCATTTTTAAATCCTGACGAAATAAAACGATGCCAATTAGATTTAAAATTTTTACAATCACGTATTTCAGAAGAACTTTATGATTTATTTACATCTACACTTACTCATCAACCATATCATCGTTTGACAATGCATGAAATTGAAAAACATGATTGGGTTCAACAACCATTTCATATGGAATTGTATTCATGGAATACTGTTACGCAAAATTCATTAGGTAAAATATATTTATTTGAAGAATTAAGAAAAAAAATAAACAACTGAATTTTGTTTTGTTATTTAGAAGAAACATTTTTAACTGGCAATCATCTACCAAGTGGTGAAGATGATAATAGTAATGATCATTCATTTGCTAGTTTAACACGTCAAATACAAAATCAATTTAATTTATTTGATAAAAATAAAAAAGATATCAAGTCAGATAAGAATGATCTTGTTGCTTATTTAAATTGTAAACATGCTTCGATTTAAACTTGTTTTCTTTTGTCAGATAGGCTATTATTATTTTTTGTTCTCTCTCTCTCTCTTTCTCTCTCTTTTTCTCTCAATTTATTGTGTCTGATATTGTCTATTTGTTGTATTAAACCATAAATAGGAACAAAATTTATTTGGTTATTAATAAATATGAAATTGACTATGCTTTCATTTGTAAAAAAAAATTTGTCTTTTATGTTTCCACGTCAATACGAATACAAAATTAGTAATAGCAGTGATAGGAAAAGTGTTTATATATCCGAATGATTGATGTTTACAGATGTACGAGACCAATTTATTTTAGTCCCCGTTTGACTAACTGCTTTTTAAGTGGTCCTGATCATAGTTGCGGCTCGAATGATAACCGTCTTTTTAGTTATCGGTTTCAGTCTTGGGTCTGGTCTAGAAAATTTATCGCTTAAATAATTCTCAAATACTCGATCGTTTTATTTTAGACATGTTTCTTGTTGAAGATACATCAATAGGTAGCTGAGATTTTTCTATAATACTCATTGAAAACTATACTTTGTTTGTTTTATAAATATTTCCTTGCTGAAAATTTCTCGAATACAACCAAATAGATATTCTGCAAGGTTTTTGACTTATGAAAAACAAATCTTCTATTTGTTACTTGTATCATTTAAATATGTCTATTAACACTTCAAAATTTCCTTGACCCATTATAGTTGTCAATATCGACATTTCACATATGACATCAATATAACAATAGAAAAACGATCTACAATATGACTGATATCTGTTCTTCGTATTCTGTGGCTAAAGATGTTTAATTCTCATGAGTATATATACATATGTACATTGTCACTGCTCAAGGACTACATGCCATTGAATTTTGTTCGTATGTCTTGTGTAAAATAGAATTTCTAATGCCTCTTACATTTTATAGTGCAAAAAAAAAATTTCCGTACTATATGTTTTTCATTTACATGCTAATAGTGAATTTCAGAATAAGAGAAATAATATTCTTATTAACATTTGTTTAACTATCCAATTTTTACGATTCAACTAAATTCATCCAATAGAGATCTTTGCAAAAAACATTTTTGAAAGTTTTTGAAAATAAATCAATTAATAATCTATTTTTGTTTTAGTACAATCAAAAAATTATAGCTTTTTAATGGGGCCATGTAATATCCATTTATTAACGTTCATTTTCCTTTTATATATTGATATGCCATTCATCTCAAATCGTGCTATGGAAGAGTGTTATCGATTGATCATGATGACTCTGACATTTATCGGCTCTTACTTGACAGAAGTAAGACATAGATCATTTCTATTATTATTTTACTGAACATTACAGACGCCTAATCGTTTTGCAAATTGTGTATATCATAAGGGAAGAAAAAGAACAAAAAAAAAAAAAACAAGGAAGTTGATGTACTTGGATATGTCAATCAAATCTATATTTATTAAACATAGTGACAGCTGCTAGTTCTTTTTTTGGTGGTACGAATAATTACGTTCATATGTGGAATTCTCAATTGGTTGTGTATATTCTTATGTTGAACTGTTCCTTATATTTTACTGTTCATTCACAAGGTAAATTTTAGAAAGAATAAAGAATTTAATTTTTTTTCGTATTTTTTTAAGAAAGAATTCTTATTCATGATAATACCAATTCAACAAATGAGAAAATTTTCATGTCATCGAAAGATTCATTACCAATATGGACAAATAAACAATTTATTATATGTTTTGTTAGTGTTTCACTTGGTACTCTTTTGTTTTGTGTGACATTTATTGTACCGGCTATGATTATTATACGTCGAGCAAGACGAGATAAAAATCGATTAGATTTAAGAGAATTAAGACGTATGAGTGATTTTATGTAATGTATTTTGATTATTTTTTATTTAATAAAAACTATATAAGAAAATTCTGATTTTGTTTGTTGTTTTTTGTAATAGAATGAATAATACAAAAAAAGTAAATAGAATATTTATCGATGAGATGAAAGACAATATTTTTAGAAATAATGGGTGCGTTGAACGTTTCTAGACAAAATATTTGATTATTTTTTCGCATATTTAAATGCACTGAAAAAAGTGAGAAGTAGTGTGTATTAGAATCAGCATTTTATAGTTTTTCAAAAGATATGCTTCAAATTTTTCTGTGACTTTTGACATTTGAGATATAAGGAAAACTTCGCAAGACTGATCAAATATTTTCTGGAGACGTAATAATTTTATTTTTCTGAAGAGAATTTAGTCATCAAATAAGTGATGTAAATATATAATACTTGAGGTTAATCTCGACTCTATAAAATGACGAAAGAATGGAGAATTTTCAAGACTCATTTATAGCTCAATAGTCAAAAGTCATAGAAATAATTCTATGTATATAATTCTGAAAGAGCACAAAATTTTGATTCTAATACTCGACTTTTTACTCTTTTCCAATGTATTTAAATATGCGAAAAATGGTCAAATATTTTGTCTCGGAAATTTTGACCCATTCTTTATATGACTCGAAACTTTACCATTGTTACATCGAATACTTGAAGAAAAACTTTAGTAAAAGACTCAGATATTATTATCATGTTTATTATTTGACCTTGAACATCTTTTATGGAAAGAATGAATTAACGCAAATTATGTTGACATTCAAATTATCTATTTTATTTCAAGTTATATCTGTTGTGTAATTAGGGTTGTTACATAACACTACATGAAAGAAATTATCAAAATATTTCCTCAACAAAAATCCGCATTGTTATGTTTATTTTGCATTTTTTATCTAACGAAACATCTTTTATCATTTTTGTTAACAATATCTAAGCATTGTCATTGTTTTAAAATCAAAAAAGAGAATATAACCTAGTCATTTTGCATATATATCTAGATAAGATTTGTTTGTGTTCGTTTTCACTTGACAAACATGCATAGAATACAATTGTTCGTCATTGGAATAATACTTCTACCATTATTAATTGATGGTCTTCCATTTTTCCATCGTGGCCGACCTCGCGGTGGTATGATTGGATCACCAAAACGACGTTTTCAATCATCGTATTATCGTTTAAAATCGCCAAGTGATGAATTATGGTATACACAACAACTTGATCATTTTAATCCAGCAGATCCACAAACATGGCAACAAAGATATTTTGTTAATGATCTACATTGGAAAAAGAATGGCCCTGTTTTTATTCAAATTGGTGGTGAAGGTCCAGCTGATCCTATTTGGATGACAGAAGGACAATGGATTAAATATGCACAAACACATGGTGCTATTTGTGTTATGCTTGAACATCGTTTTTATGGCAAAAGTCATCCAACAGAGTAAATAACATCAAATGAAATTTATTAGATTATTGACTTTTATTATTTTTTTCTCTAGAGATCTTAGTGTAGACAATTTAAGATATTTAACTAGTGAACAAGCGCTGGCAGACTTAGCAACATTTCGAGAATATTTTAATAGTAAATATCAAATATCAGAACAAACAAAATGGATTTCATTTGGTGGATCATATCCAGGTTAAATATTTAATTCAGTTTTCTTTATAAATAATTTTATTATTTGTTTTTATTTAAGGTTCATTATCAGCATGGTTTCGTTTAAAATATCCACATCTTGTTCATGGTGCTATATCAGCTAGTAGTCCTATGACTGCCCTCACTGATTTTAGCGGTTCGTTTTTCTTTTTGTTAATATTTTTTCTCATTATGAAATTATGAATGTTTTTTTTTACTTTATATTTAGAATATTTGGTTGTTGTACGAAATTCTCTTGCAACTTATGATGAAAAATGCAATGAAGCAATTAGTGGTGCAACAGAAGTAATGCAAAATATGGTTCAATCATCTGCTGGTCGTACAGTATTAAAAACAGCTTTTCGGTAATTTTAATTCATATTTTCATCATGTTACTTTAATATTAATAATAGTTTATGTGATTCAATTGAAACACAAAATGATGTTGATAATTTCTTTGAAACAGTATCCGGTAATTTTCAAGGTGTTGTTCAATACAATAAAGATAATCGAGCATTTGAAGTATATTTTATCGAAGATTATTGTCATAAAAGTAATTTGATTTCTGCTATTTTATTTTTTTTTATAAATTAGGGTGCTCGTGCAACAAATATAACAATTGATGTTTTATGTAAAACAATGCTTGATACAAGTGAACCAGATATTTTTCAACGTATGGTTAATGTTAATAATATGTTATTAAATGCATATGATCAACCATGCCTTGATGCTGGTTATATGAGTATGATAAATCAATTACGAAATACGTCGTGGAATGCATCAGCATCTGAAGGTGGTCGTCAATGGACATATCAAACATGTGTTGAATTTGGTTTTTTTCAATCATCAGATGATTCTCAACAACCATTTGGAAATAATTTTCCAGCATCGTAAGAAAAATTCTTCATATGAAATAAAACTATTTATTTATGCTCTTCTTTTTATTATTGCTAGATTTTTTATTCAACAATGTGCCGATATATTCGGACCTAAATTTGATGATAACCTTCTTGAACGAGGTATTAATTTTACTAATGCATTTTATGGTGCAGAAGGTTTTTCTGGCTCAAGAGTTTTATTTGTTAATGGTGCTATTGATCCATGGCATGCATTAAGTTTCACTAAAGATCCTCCCAATAATAATAGTGCCATTTTCTTATCAAGTATGTTACGTTATTTTTTGTAAAATGAAAATATCGTTCTTTTCCTCTTAGGCACAGCTCATTGTGCTGATATGTATCCAGATGCAGACTGGGATCCAGAAGAATTAAAACAAGCTCGTCAAACAATCAGTAATACGATTGGACAATGGCTGCAGTGATTTTTGTGAACACTATTAGGATAAAAAAACTATCAATTCATTTTGTGTCTTTCATTTTTTTTCTAATATGAGAAAATATTCTTTTTCTTTAACCTATGAAAAAAAGCTTCTTAATAACTAATTATATATGAAACCTTCATTTCATTATTCTTGTCTATTTTTTGAGTGAAAAAACACATATTCGACTCGACTTATATTTGAGAACCGCGTTCTATGATAGTGTGTTTAATAGATCTAATCAAGAAGCGTTAAATAGGCTAAATAAGAGGGATCTTCAATAGTAAAGTATGTTCTTGTGAAGTGTAAAATCGAATTGACTAGAAATCATCAAAATTTTACAAAAATATCTGTGAGTGGGTTCAAAGGTCTCTTAATATCTCTTGATAGGATTTCAGAAAGTGTTAACTATTTGGATTTGAGAACAAATTTTCATCAACTTTTGAATGATACTGTGTATTTCAACATATAAAAATTTTCATGTTGCGGTTTATGTAGAAATTGATTGGTTTTCTCGTTCTCGTGGGTCTTATCTTAAAAGGTTTATCAGATGGAGTAACTGGAAATCGTCATCATGGTCTTGATTCATATTTATTTGCTCATATTTTAACTTCATCCTGTTTGGAGGAAAATTAACGCATTCAAGGTTCATCATCAAGGCGTGGTCTTGTTCATCTTACTATACGTTATGCTGAAAAATGTTCTATATTTAATATTGGTACTAATTGTTTATTATCAATAGATAAACGTTGTTCATATCTTCGTTCACTTAATATTGCTAATAATGGTTTTATGTTAATTAGACAAAATAATTGCATTATTCGTTCACATCCACAATATCCACGTGATTCATCTCTTTTTCAATTATCTTCTCTTTGAACAACAATAACACAATGACATACATCAAATTCAACATTACTTTATCATAATAAATAAGGATTTTTATCTATTTTTTTTAATTTGATTTCATTTATTTATTAAATTAATTTAGACTAAGTGATGGAGACTATATTGAATATACTTTAGAAATAGGTGATTTATTATTAACAATTCTTTTAACATATCGTTATGTGGAATAGATGTAAACTGATGAGAGGGGAGAAGAAGTACGAGCTATATACGGTAACATATCTCAACTTGCTTCGTTGGTTACTCGAAGCTTCATTACTTCCACAAGTCTTAATTATTACTCTTTTTGAATATTGTTTTCTGTGTGTAGTGAACTTTTTCCATGTATATCATTTATTTTATGTAACCATGGTCATGACCAAAATACCTTTGTTCATCTTGATGCATCATGCTGAAATTCAACCTGACTTTTTTCTAGATGGAGTTCACATGTTGCTCTTTAATGTACTTTGTTATTAGCCTTCGATATTAAATATCTATTAGAAATATACATTAAATAGAAAAGCACATTATCTCTCATTAAAATGCCGAAGATCACAATCCTCCATATTTGGGAAGTAGACCATTAAAACTGAAAAAAATGACTTTTTTCACATTTTGGTCGTTTTTTGAGCTTTTCTTCGCGTCAGCTCATTGCTTCGAGTCCGAAAAAGTATCAAAAGATGTAGAATATCAAGAAATTTCAGAAACTGCATTCATTTTTTTGATACGTCATGGTTCGATGAGGTTAGAGGTAAATTACTAGCAAAGCGTCACTCATAAACTATAGACCCATCTCGCCTTGTCGCGACACTATCGATTACTAAAATTTATTGTAATCATCATTGACATAGTCCATTTTATAAAGGATTCTTTTCTGCGTCATTTTAGACTTTTCCCGACTCACAGCGATGAGCTGGCGCGAAGAAAAGCTCAAAAAACGACCAAATGTGAAAAATGCCACTTTTTTTTTCAGTTTTAATGGTCTACTTCCCGAAAATGGAGGATTGTCATCTTCGACATTTTCATTAAGTACAGCAGAAAATCATAATATTTTGAATTTATAAGTGTCTCGATGTGATCTTTCATTTGAACTAACAAAACATCTAAAAGAACATGTAGCGGCTGCCGTTCCTATATAAAAGGTTGGTACGACTTCTCGCGAACCTTCTCTTAAGTTTCGATTCACAAAATGGATAAGATCAGAACAAAACGACATTGGAGTAGTTATTTACTCGCAAGATACTTCCATTTTATACTGTGCCCAGATCAAGGAAAAATCCATGATTTTCGACCAGATCCCTTCAATATAATTCATAATCAAGATTAGACATTAAATGATAATTATTATCAAATTGCGGTCGTTTAAATAATTCTTTATTAACTATAGCACGTTGTTCACAATAATCAACAATTTGAAAAATATAAGCAATACAATTTGATTTCATTAAAGCTATTTCATCAAATATTTCATTCTGTACAACAATACAAAAATCATTACTATCACTATAAGATGGAATTTCTAATTCAAGCCAAACTGTTAAATGTTCAACTATTTCAATAAAATCACGGAAATAATGTTGAACAGATTGAATAATTAAATTTAGATGATCATTTGATGAATTTGAATTTTCAATAGTGATTATTTTAGTATTTGAAAAAAAAAATTATATTTCCATAAAGTTCTGTAAATATGTTATTATGTTTGTCAATATTCATAAAGGAGGAGATCGTTAAGCAATGAAATCGACCAACTCTCAAAATTGGAATTTTTATTTTGCAAATACTCAACTCAGATGTTAGAAGTTGATTACTGTTCGCATTAGTCCGTTAGCCCTCATTCTGGCTGCTAAGGCTTCAATAGAAAGCTAGATAATATCCGTCTCATGTAGGGCCGTGGCATCCAGGAGTTTTATGAGAAATTTTTCTGGTGTTATTAGTATTTCTAATTTGAGTTATATAAAAAAAAGGAAAGTTCATTCTTTCCGCTATTCAGTGGCATATAGGAATATAAGAAAATATTATTCTTTCTCATTTTTCCTTATGTAACATGGGTCCTGCTACATGCAAATATCAGGGTAGCTAAGATAAAATTACCATTTTCCCCTTCCCCCTACGATACTATTGGAGGCAGCGATCCATTTTAAATTACACACTATCCGATAGCTCTTTGAAAGTTCTATAAAATGCTACTATTGCATTGAGCTTAGTTTGTGGATAATACAGTTTACTTAAAGACAAAATGTCTGCGAGCGCCAAAGATTGCAATTTTTGACACATTGTTGACCGGTTTTCACTTGCATAGTTAGACTTGGGTGTGGATGTGGGCGTGGGATGTGGGTGTGGGTGTGGGGTGTGGGTGTGGGTGTGGGGTGTGGATGAAAGAAGATGAACATATACACGCATACCAACGTCCCCACCCTTTCCAGAAACTACTTTTTCGTCAACTTTATTCGGTAACGAAACATAATGGGCGCATTTGGCGTACTTTGCATAAGGCGCATCAAGAGAGATGTGGTATGACTTCTTTCGCAGCACCCACATCGAGAGAGATGTGATGTATGTCCATTGGCAGTACTTCCACGGACGAAGTTTCTTGTGAATGTGCTAGATCAGTCCTTTGGGTTCCGCGGGCCAAGACTCCATTGGTTGGCGTAAAAAAAAAATATTTTGCAAGCCATTCGAGTTGTCGGGAAAGTTGATTCTTCTCTCAGAATATTCATTTTCGATATTCGGAAATTGATCTGGTTTCCGAAAACCCTTTTTCAATTTTCGCAAATTCATCTTATGTCCGAAAAGTCATTGAATATCCTGGAAAGTCATATGAGGCATTATCTGCTGAGAAGAGAACAGACGTATACTTATATGATGCTTCATGGATATTATTTAAATGATAACAAATCATTTTAACAGAATATTTTATAAAAAAAAGAAATATGTGGGTGAATCAATCAGATGTGGCAATGTATCAGATACTCTCAATGTGAGATGTAATTTATTGATTTTGAATATGTTTAACTTTAGAAGCGACCCATTACACTACTAGAGATGATAGAATGATTACTATCACCTATTTATCTATCAATAAGAGTGGAATTATGTAGATTTTATACAAATATTGATGTGCTATAATAAAAATGGAATATATTTTGATAAGTTATTAGATATTTATGAATGATTTTTCAAGTTTAGCAATATTATCATCATTATAGAGATATGTTGCATATATTTGTAAAATAATAGTTTGAAAAATAATCGATATACTAAAAATATCGTCAGAAAGTTAAGTTATTTTAGCATAAATAAAGTGCAATGGTTGAATCGACAGCATGCTGAAGCAATAATAGAGATCTATATAGTTTTTTTTTTATTTAAAGAAGCTTATTGAAGAATGTTTGAGTAGGGCGTGGGCAAATCGAAAATCCATAACCGACAGAGCGGGAGCGGAGCAGGCGTGATAAGCTCATAGACAAAAACGTCAGTTAATTGGATTGTAAAATATTTAACACATTTGTGTTATGAATGTAGTATTATTGAATAATAAATAGGTGGATAGATTACATGGTCGACTCGATACGTTGCCAATAGTTTTGTCAGTTTTCATCAATTCGGGCTAAAACTTAGATCGAAAAAGTCTCAGTCTACAATTATTTATGAAGCTACCTGTCACTTGTTGTTTTAAAGTCAGAACAAAAGAAGTCAATGAAGAAATGTCGAAAACATAATTTATATAGAACTTTTCTACCCTAAATTCAGCATTTCTGCGTTTCGTGATCTCCAATGTTGAACGATTGAAAAAATAAATCATCCACTTTGTAGAGCTTCAAAGTCTTCATACGTCTGGTGTATTTAAAAATTTTTGCAAGTCAGTTTATATGAAAAGCATAATTTTTGAATCATGACTTTCTTTATTCTCAGTAAATTGATATAGATCCATCGAGATTCAGTCCTTTGAATCGGATGTTTGTTGTTTTCATAGTGAATGAATCACAATGATAGACACAATATTCGTATCGTTAAATATTTTATTCAACTCGGTTAAACTTAAACAGCAAGAGAAGCATAAATTTTGTACCCGGATCCAAAAAAAATAATTTTCTACAGAAAGTTTTTGTGTAGACACACTTCTATAATATGCCAATAAACAGAAAGTTCTCGATTCTATCTGAAATGATATTATAAAATGTTTTTGACAAATATTCTACTGGTATGAAAGAATGGGAATCAATTTGTGCATATTTTATGTTTTCATTATTTTTCACTAACTTTTTCCTTTCTAAATCTATAGAAAACATTGATGTGTATTTTTATGAAGAATCGAAAGCTAAATCTGCTGAAAAGACCTTAAAGCCCGAACTGATGAAAGCTAAGTAAGCTGTTGAGAAAATGTGAAGTCCGTCATTGATTCTGCAGCATTCGTTACTTTAACTAGGAGGAGAGTGAAGATACATTCACAGTCTTATCCCAACTGACACCCTCAATGAAACTGAGAGAAGAATTTGTAATAACTACATTAGTTCTTCAGTAACTATGACACGCAATGTATATTTATCACGGTAAATGATACTAAGAGCAGTTTTTTTACTCGAATTATTTGTTAATTACCAGCTAAATATTTAACAAGTAAAGAGCGCTGTTTCAATAGTACTCCGACCAAAATTAAATTTACTTTTCTTTTGGCTTTGTTCACATTATCAGGATATCAATTACATGAATGATGAGAAAAATCGAACTAATGATGTTTTTCTTCTTTTTTTACCACGAAGAGAAAAAAATCATTTTCAAAATATCAATGAAAAATAAACAATGAGCAATCTTTTTTTTTTTTCAGTATTATTTGAATGAAAGAAGACATACCATGAATAGACCATCATGTCATTATGCAAATGAAATGTAAACTGAAGTTGGAAAGAATAATAATAGAAAAAATGACGTTGCTAGATTTTTTTCTTGTTCATATTTTTGTTGTTCAAACCGTACTTTCAACAAAAACCAGATAAAGTTAGTCGTTGAGTGTCATTAAAATAAACCACATCTGATGCGGTACAAAACTTTAGAAAATAAAGTTTAAAACATTGATTATATAGATAGAAAAGATGATCTTCGTCTAAACGACAAACGTTTATTCATTGTTCTCAATTGATAACCAAACAAAAATTGATACTTGATATGAATGGACGAAAATGCACACAAACAATTTCCATATTAACAACAGATGCTGCTGCGAATATAACAGTATTATCGCATACTATCCAACCATCATAACACATGGCTGAAATTGTATACTCAGATAGTTGGATCGGTGACGTAGTCAGATGGTGGGCAATTGAGCAACTACTCACTAATTCAATATTGATTGCCCACTAGTCTTATTGAGATAATGGCAATTACCTACAGTGGGAAAGTTTTGATAGTCGTACATGTTTGAAGGTTCAAGTAGTGCGATCTTAATGCACTGTCTCTTGATGAGAACTCATCATTTGTTTTAGAAAAATCAATCCACACTATTCTTCATTGAACCAATAATCTCAATGGAGACGACTCAACAGTATTTTTTCGTCACCATACTCGATACTACGCATAAATTCGCTAATAAAGAATGTGAATGAATGCTTAACAACCTTTCTAGGCACATAAATCCTATTAAGCGAAAACAGCTACAGCAATCTAAACTCTACGCTTTGATGATGCAAGTTCTGACGTGATTCTCCCAATGCAAGAGTTAAAAACTTGTCTAAACTAAATAGAAGATGTAAATAAAACAAGTGATCCAATGTGCGAATTAAACTGCTTTGAAAATAAAAATCAGGAATTGCGAGTAGTGACAATAAAATAATAATACTTAATTTAGTAGATGTATCGGCAACTGAACATCAGTGTCATACAGAAGAAAACTCTCAGGTTTGAAAGCATTTCCCACCGATAAATGGATTTGAATGTGAGCGTGGATATCTGGATGAAGACAAGACCTACCTCCACTCACATTTATTTGTTCGTACAAAAACATCAACAATGATTGGATTTTGGGCTATAACTATTTTTATACTTTTTATTGTTACTTACTTGTACTGTTATTTTGTTCTATTTATGCTTAATCCTGCCTTTTTGACACAAAATAATCAAATATTTGAAAGATAAAGGGTACATTTGTGAAACAGTGCAAAGAAAACAAGTCTGCTTGCCTGTCAGTTGAGCTGGACAAATTTCTCGTCAGTAAAGATCGACTTTTATTATAGCAATAAGTTTTCAAAAATTATTGTCCAATGGATTTTTGATTTGTCCATTGCTGCCTACCTCTCAAAACAGCTTAATCAATCGGTCTGTTGGTAACTCTGATTGAAAATGTGTGCACGCGTTAAAAAAAAATATTCTTAAACATCTAAGCACGTATCAACACCATAAACTGCAAAACATTACATACAAAAACAATTTTGCTAACAAACAGATTCATGTCAAAATAGACATTCACAATGTAGTTTGGTATCGTACAGTCTTGCTGGATCATCATGTAATCTAGTCTTTATAATCGTATTTTGCAAATAACTTAATCATATAATATCATTTGAAACATGTAGTAAAATATTGATTCAAATCTGTCTCTCACTCTACAAGCTCTCAATCATATCGAGTGACCTCTATGATTCATAATTACATTAAAAATCTAATAAATCAAATCTTTCTATTTATTATTTCATTTATGACAATCAAAATAAAATAATTTAATCTGAAAATTTCTATAAAAACTAAAATAAAAGCGTACATTTATTATTTATTCTATATTGAGGTTCTATCCGATTCTCTGAATGCTCCATTACAATGACAGTTATATCAACGAATAGATGAACGAGAATAAACGCATATAAACGTCAGTGGTTTGCATATATACTACAGATATATAATCTCTAGCATTGATTTTGTTTGAGTATTTATTTTCTATCTTCCCTCCTATTTTTTGAATTTAAAACAAACAAGACAAGTTTGAAATAAAACTTGCTTTAATTCTTTCCAAATCTTCACTTGAATAAAGTATGTAGAAAAAAATTAAATTTTTTTCTAAACTGTCCTTCAACTGGATTTTTTAATTTTAGGAATGAAGATATGGAACACGATATTTTACAACGCCGTTCAGCAGCTACAATCAAGAATATGGCTGTAAATTCTTATTCTCAAATTATTTCTGCATTTCGTGCCCAAGGTGATCTTACAGAAAATCAATTAAATATTTTACCTGTCTTACAAAATACATTTGGTATTAGTCGTGAACGACATACAGCTGAAGTAAAACGTGCACTTTATGATGAACAGTTATCTGAAATAGCTACAAGGTTTAGATCAGAAAAATTATATCTTATCAATTAAATAATTCCTTTTTTTTATTATGTAGTATTAATCCGTCATCGAATACAACAAATTGGGAAATTGAAGCTAATTATGCATGTCCAACAATTGTTCATCGTCCTCCAAATACAAAATCTATTCAATTAGCTGAACATGTTTTACAAACAACGCCATCAACAACAATTATTCAACATCCTCGACCTATCACAACAACAAAACTAAGTAAGAAAGAAAAAAAAACAACCATGTCATTAACCATTTATTATTGAATTCAAATTTCTTTATAGATCATGATTTACAACAACTTGTTAATGATGAAATAAAACAAGATGGAATTCGAAATGCAACACAACAACAACAGCAACTATTACATAATACAACAAAACAAAATTTAAATAATACAGATATTAATAGTAAATTTATTTTTTCTTATCAACAGAATCAGATTATAGATTAGCAAGAAAGTGTGTGTTGTGAAATACATTCTTTCACTTGAGCGTTTTTTTTTCTTTCAAAGAGTTATTCTTTTTTTTATAATATGTTTATTTTTAGGTTCAAAAGTAATTCGTTTAGTTCGTGCTAAACAAGCAACAAAACGTAAATCAAGTTTAGATACATTAATTGAAGTTGTACAAAAAGAATTACTTCGTGTTAATGAACAAACAAATACAAATTCACCATCATCATCATCATCAAAATTACAAAATCCAATATTAACTTCTCATCGTTCTACAATATCATCTGTTTTACCATCATCTCATCCAAGTTCATTAACATCACAAACAAATCATTCATTTAAAATAACACGTAAACATGGATTTGACAATTTAAATGTTTTAAAAAAGAATTTATATTTACAACAACGAAAAAAATCTTTTAATGATGATGATGATAATGAAAATAATTTTACAGAAAATGATGATTCAAAACAAACAATAGATGATATACAGTCAGGTTCAGAAAATATTGAAGAAATTGTTCGTGATACTGTTGATAAACTTGTTGCTATAACGCTTTTAAATAATGCACCATTTATTGTTAATATGCTTACAGCTATTCCAAATAATGATAATAGTACAAATACAGAATCTAAAAGCATGTCAAATACTTTTGGTGCAAATGTAAGTAAATGAATATAAATTATTAAATGAACAAAAAAGTTTTTTTCGGATGAGAAAACTAATATAATAATTTCATGAAAAATTTTATTTAAATTCAAATAAAATGAAAGAATAAAGTATTTTAGTACAATGTTAATAGAGATGTGCAGGATATTACCTTATCCTGCACATCTCTAAATGTAAATTATTATACTGTAGGTGCAAAAAGTTCCGCTATCAGATCACAAGTACCTAAACTTTAATTCTTTAATGTTATAGTTTGACTACAAATAGAGCATATTGAACTCTGATATCAAGGACTTATAACAACTTGATCGACCTTCATGAGAAGGAGCTAGAAGATCAACATAGATTTTTTTCTTAGACAAGGATATCTTAACATAGACAACACATCTCGTTACATTAGACCCTTCATTCGACAGATCAGTGCTGTCTCTACCATCAATAAAAATTCCATGTCAAACAGTTTTAGTTTGTCTGATTTATGAGGTATTCTCTCGATAATCTGTACATGAGTGTTGATAAGAGTTATCAAAAACTGATTCATATCTTCGGGTAGTTTGAACCATTTGCTTTGAAAAATTCACAATTATCAATGGAAAAGAGATCCATGCTGAGATTATTCCAGATAATGGAGGCTTTCCTGGACCTCAAGATTACAGCGAATTGAAGTACACTATCTGTGACACAATATAGATTTGCGATGCTTTATTTGGTGATAAGAAACTGAAGATTAACACCTTTAAATAGTGAAAAAGTAGAAAAGTACCAAAAAAAAGCCTTTTTTTAAGTCCTAGGAAAAATATTACAATGCTTTCATTGTAAATCTTTTGCATTAAAGCCTATCTCTATCTGTAGTCAAAGTATCAGATAAGAGGATTAAAGTCTATATTCTTTTTACTCCGTAGCTGTACTTACTACTGTAACTATTCAGATGTTTTGACAAAATAATCGATAGTAAACATTAAATAAAATTATGAAAAAGTTTTTTATGGAATGAATTCTGAAGCATTTGAATCGTTCAGAATCGAAAATCCACAATCATTTATCACTCAACAAAGATAGATAAGCAATCATTGTGTTGAAGAAAAGACTGAGACAATAGTCTTCATGTTAGGAAATTGTATCTTTACTTCTTACAAATATCTTTCTAAAATAGTAGCAAATCAACTCTATTTTTAGAATACATCTACTATAAAATCTCAATTAACATCAACAATTCCTAAATCAGATCATTATCGTAATGATCTTACATTACTTCCATCAGTTGGAAATGATTTACGAAGTTCATTACAACAAGCATCACCTATAAAACAACAATTATTATCTCAACAACAACAAATTCATCATCCACAATTAATTATTCAACCAACGACAACAGCAACTCCAATATCAACTATTCAAGGAACAACAACACCAACACTTTTTGTTACTCCGCGTATATTAAATTTTCAAACAGTTGTACCAAAACCAACAACAAATATTCAAATAGGTAATACAAAAATAATTCTTGTTTCACCATCAAATATTACTCAACATTTACCACATTCAACAACATCTATTCAACCAACATGTACAACAAATTCACAACAGCAACAAAATATTATAAATAATAGCCCTGTTAAATTAGTTAAATTTGCTACAACAAATAATAATAATAATAATTCAATAACAACACGTTCAACAACATTACCAATAAATACAACTCAAACATCAACATTAACTTTACCAAAAAATGTTCAAATTGTTATTCCATCTCAAACACCATCAACAATACAATTAACACGAACACATAGTGATGATCTAAATAA